CATGGGACCATCAACTCTCTATTTTCTGTATTAAAAAAACCCCAACACTTCACAGTAATGAACACGCTGGTCAAACATGATAAGCCAAAACTGACAACATTTACAATATGTATAGAAGCTTTGACTAGTCAAATGCATTCTCTCCTTAATTACATACACTCAGTAGGAAAAATGGATTTATCACAGAACATCACTTTCATCATCTTCATAACACCTCTTATTTCTACAGTGATATTAACACACAGAATAACACATTTAAAAAAGCTGTCCTTGGCTGAAGTCCCCATTGTGGCAGTTGCAACAACTTGAAGTGGTCACATGCATTCTGATATCACAGGAAATGCATGGAGTCAAATTATACTGTTTTCAAGAATGTTTCATCCTGGCTAACATAATTAACAGAATTGATATCTATTCCAACTCGATACTGTGAAATTTATGAAACACATCTTTTATATTAACTCAATGAATGCTAAATAAAACTTCTTACGTGAAATCAGTGGAAACTTGCACATTGGATTAATGGATTATAGACTATTAAAGACAGTTTCAAGGTACATCAATTCAGTCATTTAAGAACATACAGTGGATTTATAGTTTTACATGTATTCAAGAAAGGGTCAATTTGGTCTGTGACAATATCTCTATGACATATTGTCAAGTGGTTTAAACAGTCAATACATTCTAAATCAGGTAAAAATGATTTCTTCTTTGAAATGTAAGCTTGAATGAAGAAGTATGTGTTTTAAGGTAAACTTGCTAAACAATAATACTTAAACTTCTAACTTTCTTGCAAACAATAACTATAGAGTTTTCATATCTTAAAATACTCATTTAATTAAATTGACTGTTTCAGGCAAGAATAAAGCATCTATTCATTGTTTTTTTTTCCTTTTCTGCAACATGGAGGAAAACATGAAATTTTGACAACATCAAATGATATTCAGACATTAATGATATAGAATAAATATCTACAGTGTTGTGATTTTGGAATTGCTTACCAGTAAAAAATTTACCCAAAAAAGTTAATAAGCAAATTAAAGAACTTTATTTTATACAGTACCAAAGAAAAGAGATTTTTTGCACAATTACACATACAAACATCAAGGTCATTTCCAATATTATGCTTTTTTATCATCAGCTGGAATAAAACACAGCAGACCAGGGTTGCAAAATTAGGCAGAAATATGATAAAGGAAATATACAACACATTAAGTTATTTTCCCTGATCACATGATCAGTCTTTGATATGAGTAGTCCTACAGAAGTGAATATGTGTTAAACTAGAATAAATCGTCCTACATCATGAAATGAATACTCTACAAGTTACATTAAACATTTCAATGAATCTTTCCTACTTTGCTGTTATCGCCTGTTTTTATTCCATTTAATCTCTGACCCATACAGTTAGACAAGCACTTGGATACAAGAAGAATTTAACATTTTGTTTGTACTGATGTGATGAGAAAAATTTCAAAAGACCACACAGAAATTGACATGATATTCATGAAGTTATTGGACAATATAAAATCACATTGAGATAACATAAGAGACAAAAAAATGACATGTGTATCGTTTATAATTTTGACGACCCCATCTTCATTCATAAATACATATATTTACTACCAATTTATTAAATTTCATAGTAACGTACCAATTTTTTTGCAAGGTTTCTTTTGTGTGCATGTCTTTTTGTTTTTTTCACATGCTTTAAAATCTGGTATTGAACTTCAATGACATCCGAATTTGCAATTTAACAAAAATTTCTTCGACTCTTCTGATGTAATGATATGAGGATCAGTACTACCATGGTAATAATAAAATGATATATAATTAAATATTTTTTACCCTGTTTTTTTATACATTAATATTACACCACTTTGTTTTTTTCTTTACATTACTGGTATCTTATTTCTCTGTTTAAATATAAATAAATCCAGCATAAAGTATTTTTTGTATGATCATCTTAAATGTTGGTAATCTACAGTCTATCTGACCACAGGGAACTGAAATTTCATATAAAGACAAAGAATATTTAAAACAATAATCCTCAAAAAGAAACACAACTGTTAATAAACTCTGAAATATTTCAATTCTCTTCCCCCTTCCAATCTCCTTTCTGGCAAATCTTTACAACTTCTATCTAGTTCTATCTAAACATGTATATAGCTGTAATGTATTTCATCAATACAGTCAAATAAGAAAAAAGTCCAATTTTATTAGTACTAACATTTTTAATCTGTAAAATTTATTTCTAAAAAATCACGTAAAAAAGGTAAATTCTTTTTTCGTCATAATCTAATGACGAGAATTGTTGACAAAATCAAGCTGTCATCATAACCATCAGGATGGCAACAATGTTGACATAACAGGACCTTGTGCCTTCATTCACCCCTATGTAATGAATTCATTAAAAAAAGGTTTATTTCAATTTCTTCTTGATTATGGGTACATGTGTAAAATCAAACAATCAAATTTACCTTCAATAACCTAGCAAATATGCCTATATTTAGACATGAAAGATAACAAACCTGGCTAAAATGGGATATTGAAAAAAAATATTGGATCATTGGTGTATAAACAATGGGATAAAAAGACAAAGCTGAAAATGTCACCAAATCATAATATTATAATAAAGTTAAAACTATTTTCTGTGATGCAAAAGTCTTACTAAGGACTTATATTACATTTAATGGATATTTTTAAAATTATTTTAGTAGATATCTTGTTTACTAGAAAATAAAATACATAACATCATCTTCTGAATACATTTTTCTGTTTCTATTATTGAAGTTACAGCTTTCGTCGTTATTTATTATTTTAAAGACATTTGTTATTATTCTTTGTAGAAATGCATTAAATTATCTATGTAGACAAATAAAGACATTATACTCCACAGATTTTTCTCTTGATAATGATTCTTATGGAAAAAACAATATGGTGAGGAATTTTTCGAAAAGTTGCAAAATATTGTGAAGCATAGGTAAGTGACTATGTGTTTTGTGGAATTCACTTTTAATACAAATTATGCTTATTGTGATAATAAACCTTTCATGTTTATAAATATATAGACTGAATCTAAGTGTATTCTATGAATTATCTCCCTTACAGCTGCCTATTGTAATACCGGGTGATATTATATGTCTCTTCATTTTCTGTCTTAAAACCCACAGCATGGTGAAATGAAATCATGAATGAATTACTATCTTGAGAGATGCTTTTTTATGTCACAAAAACTGGAGAAGAGATAAAAACTAATACCCATAGTCACGTCTGCACTTCAAATTTCAAAATTCAAATTTTTGTTTGTGTACCAGAACTTCTAAGAACCACGTTGAGTAAGAATAAGCTAATACCCCTGGTCCCATCTGCACTTTTGAAAGCTTCATTACTTTATCAATATTCCTGGTAACAGCCATATTGAGTTAGAATATTTGATGTAGCACTCTACCTATCAGCACAATCCTCCCAGAAAGTCTACTGTGTGATGTCAGAGTTTACTTTCTGTACACTTTGAAGGCAGTAGTGATTATGACCACCATGATTTTTTTCAAACAGCAATATGATCAATGACATTGAACTTGTCTATGGTATCTTGCAGAAGAAGGATTTTGAAGATTAACCTTTGTTTCATCTATTTGGCCTAGGTCAGCCAAATTATGAACAGACAACATTCAAGTCTCTGTCAGACAAGAAAAGATAAAAAAAAAAAAAAAAAAAGTTATCAGACAGACAGATGAAAGATATCACCAATTGCTTCTGTTTATTGATCCTTTGGAACCAGATGAGCTAAAAATAAGCATCCTGACTGAGAAACAGACCTTAACACCAAAAGAATGAGAAATAAACTAACCGGGTATGGCTTACATGCTCCAGGCCATTTTATGGCATGGACGCACATAATAAGATGAATGTAGGAAGTAAGAAAATGAAAGAACTCTAAATTTGGTGACGTATTCAACAAGCTTTGTATTTCCAATCTGACAGTACTACCTACAAAAAACAATTCAAACTCTTTTGTTCGTACATAAATAAAACATCAAATGCTGCGATAAATTTTCTGTAAAATGAGCAAGGGGCTTAAGTACATTTATCTTATACTGTTAACTAATAGATCTTTTAAATACAAGTACATAATACTATAAGTATATAAAATATCTGAAGTATAATTAGGACATACATATACAGAAAACACTTTCATTCTTGTACCATCAATCAGGAAATCTGCCCACCATTTCATTATCACCTTAAAGAGGAGAAAGACTCCAACCAAACATGAAAAGCAAGGAAATTCAACAGAAAGATTTGAGTTTTTTAAAAATAAAACAAGAATTTCACACTTAATTAATTTGTACTAAATGAATTAAAAGCAAAACAAAGGGTGAATGCTTCATCATTACTGTTAAATGTACCTCGAGTCTTTGGAAGTGGTAGAAAATTCTAACATACTTTTAATTGTAGATATACCAGTCAACATATCCCCTAAACAACAGTTTATACTTTTCTATGACTTTAGCTAGTTTCTACAACGATAGATCATCACTGCAGAAGATCTTTTCTGTTTTGGATTTACAGATTCTGATAAATCTGAACTTTACAACAATCTAAAGATGTATCTAATAATGATGGTACCACTCGATCCCCCTGTTTTTTTTATGATGATTCAAACTGATTGGCAGTTTACTTTTACGGTCATTCCCTACTTAACTTACATAACACAGCAAACATACACTTTCATTCTGATTAAACAGCTGTTCGTGATCAAAATCTTTCTCCAGTGTGGAAGATCCATATTCCACACCAAGAAAACACTAATAGGACATTACTGCACAAAAATTTACATTATGACAGCACACAGATATTTTCTGTACATTTAAACAAAATAACAATATTTAAAATCATTTCACTGGCATGTATGAACAATAATAATAATAATAATATAATAATAATACATTTCAATTTTTTAAATATTAAACAACAAAGATTTTTGAAACTTCACATTCAAAACTATAACAAAGACAATGATGAGAAAGGACTTTCCTTCCCATCATACCATGAATTTGTCAGCGAACCAGTGTATCTAAAATGTCTGCTGGCTGTATACATAGCACTATAAATCACATCTCGATCTGAATACGATACGGCCAGACAGTTGACAAAACAGCAAACTGAATTATTCATTTAGTCATATCTCCCCTTTTCCTAGAACTTTTGAAAAATCATTGTCACAGAAAAGCCTTTATAACATTGCACACATACCCTTTTTATATAAATCTCTGTACTTGTCCACTTATATCTCAGGATAATGGAATAGATATTTCCCCCATGTTTGAAAAAGAACCAAACTTCAGAGATGACATTTCCAGACGGCATATAATCTCCAAGGAATGGTTCTTTTAAGCACAAATTCATTTGATCTAAATGTTACTTGTCAAACAAAAACATTACAGATAATTCATTGTCAACATTTTCTTTTCAAATGAATGTATACAACATGGAGTCATTTCAGCAATGTAGCAGCACTTGTCTTGTATCCAGCTGACAGTCATCAAGTCACTTTCTTTGCTGTCTGACATATATCAAACCACTTATCATCACAATATATGGCTAAGTCCAAATTTTTTTTTTCAGCCACAAATGTGTATGGTTTGACTTAAATATTGTGGTTATGACTCCAGACTGTCTCGTTTACTTCCTTTTGCAGGTGGCAGACCGGTCATGAGAGAATGAAGTTCATTACATTCTCCATCCATATCACTATTATGGTCATCACTGTCTATTTCTATATCCGCTCGTACACACTGTACATTCGGAGACACCTTTGATGTGCTTGAGTGAATTGGATTTAATGCTGTGCTCTCAGTACTCATTTCGTCCTTGACACAGAAAGTATCACTACCGTGGTACTGCAGTGAAGGATGACTGATGAGAACTATGTTCATGCCCTCAGCCCCTCCATGATCTTCTGAAGAAGTTGGTAGGTGTTCTACATCATCGGTGATTGCTGATGGAATCGCTCCACTCTCAACTTCTGCATGAACACTCTCCTGACTGCTGTTCAACTGTAAAATAGTTGAAAATCAAATCTGAATAAATTGTTATGAAGTTCAGTCAACCAGCAGTAGGTGCATATATCTTGATTTACAAGAAATTTATTTGGCAAAAATACCTATGCAAATTGTAAACAAGGAAGATGATGTATAATTTACAATGATATAATCCTATAAATATCATATCAGGTCTATTTATATTCCTTTATTATCATTTGTATGATAGCGTTGAGTGATAGAGTGAGGTCAAATCAGCAGAAAATAGAGGCTACCATGGGAGGAGGTGTCAATTAAAATCTACATACAAAAACCATCATAGACTCAACCTGAAATGTCTGACCACTCATCTGTCTAGATGGAACACAAAAACTGCCTTTGAGTAACATTCCATGTTCAATGGTATCAATAACAGTGGCACCAGATCATATTGACAGACTTCACAATGTTCAGTACAAATTACATGCAAAATATACACCCACTACTGTTGAAGTAACATATTTTACAATTAGCAAAATTTATTGACTTTCCAAATCCTGGCTTCAGTTTCAAATTCCCTGACTTGAAAATTCCTTTACATAGCAATTTCCTTCACCAAATTTTCCTACAAATTTTCCTTCAGTTAAGGACAATTTTGGAAAAAGGGGCCAGGTCCTAGAAGTTCATCTGTCAGACTGGCAAATTAAAGATGAAAGAATGAAATTAAGGATGATCTGACTAAAATCATACATTCACTATCTTTTCATTTGATAATGTAACTCTTCATACATACATGAACCTGCATTCCATATTCACGTAGTATATCAAGTTTGCACATTGGGCAGCTTCGCTGTTCAAGGAGCCAGGGGTCAACACAAGACTTATGGAATATATGCCTGCAACAAATGAGAAAAATATATGGATTACAAACACTTCCATAAAAAAAAAATACTTGAAGAAAAATGAGCTAGATTACTCTCAATCAGTAAACTTAAATCTCAGGCCAATGGACTAACAATGCATCATGTATGTTTTCCAAACGACTATCCGGTAAAATACATAGTGGTGACAGAAGGTTGTATCATACATACACTCCACCTTACAGTAGTTTCTCAAAAGTTCTACTGGTATGTTTTTAATGTTTTCACTATAAGACTCCATGACAAACACTCAAATGACAAATTCCATTTGTGGAATGTTACAATATATATAAAATTTTAGTTCATTTCTTGAATGTTGCTAAAATTAGATATTCCAGTACTGACACCAAACGGTAAAATTACCATTAGCGTGTGGCAAAATATGCCCGTTATATATACAATAATCCTTTGGACTGCCTAGGCAACCATATAACAACTCCCTGCCTTGTGTGACCATACTAAAGATTACCAAATACTACCACGTGTGTTAAATACAATGTACTTTGTTAACATTGCACAACAACTGTTTAGCACACCTAAATAACAACTACACTCTGTGATATGTTACTGATAAGATACTATCAATTTGTGTGTGACATCATGGATGTACACAAAACAACCACAGAATGAAATTATCATCACTATAATTTTCATTAATGTTTGTAAAAATTATGCAATAAACCTTTCTTGCTTTACATGACATTTATGAGACGCATTAAAGATTCAAATTTGTTAAAATGAAATTTCTTTTGACTTCACTAATATATAATATGAAACAGAAATCTGTGTCTGTGTATCATCTTGATTGTAAGAGGAGAAATGTGATAAACAAATACCTCACCAAGATACATTCTTTTTGTACATGAGACAGGAAAATCATACTTTGTTTGTGTTCTGTACAATCAACACTTGCATTTCTAAAGGTCACTCCAGGAGGTACAATCTAATTAAAATTTTTAAATGTCAAACTCTCACAGCATATGAAAGCTTGAATGTCTCGATATTTTGTAACTAAACTCTTAGGTCCAAATCCTTTTTCTTGTCTCAAGTGTAGTTAAAATCTATTGCTATTCTGCCTTACATTTTGTGGTAAGTTTAACTATAGATCTGCCAACCCCTAGGCTGTAGACAACCAGTACAGTCCCACTATCTAATGTTGGAAAGCATTTCTTTTTATAATCATAAACACTATCAAGCTTTAACACAGTAATTAGCACAATAAAATGTTTTTTTCTGTATCCAATCTGATATAAGTGGTAGAAAATACATGCACAAATTCCCAAGTTTGGAGCACAGATGATGACGAATAGACATTTCGGTCTCAATGAAGTGGCTAGTTCCATGAAGGGGATGTACTTCTGCATGAATTCCTAACTGGAATTTTTTTTCCTTAACTTGCCTTGGGTTATATAAGAGGAAATTACATCATCAGAAAAGACAACTCAATAAATGGTTTTGGACTGGACACAGCAATAAACATATAATAAAAGTCAGTGTACATTCACTATTATCTAACTGTCTAGAAATGAAAATAAAGCTTTGATTTTTTTAATAATGAAAAAATTACAACAAAACGTAGTAAATACACACAGAATAATACCAATTATTCTTCGGATATTTAAACATATTGCCATTGCCTTTCTGCAACAAGAATAACAATTATAGGTCTGTCCTGTCCAAATTTGTTTTAAGCAAAATGCACAAAAAATCCCATGAGATTTAATGCCCCCCTCCCTTCCCTCACATCTCAAACCCCAAAAAAGTAATATAAAATTTCACAATGAGCTAAATTCTTAACTCAAAATATCCATTTTCTCAGCATCTCTAATTAGTAGGTTTGCCTGGCAGTAAATTATGGATGCTGGATGTGTTAGCATGTCCACTGTGTATGGATTAAAATATTATTTCATATTCAAATTTTGATTTGCAATGAACATCTACGCCACCTTGATTCTTATCACACTGTACATTGTTGACATACAGCATAACATATTCAGTTGTACTAATTAAGAAATACACAAATATGCATTACCAGTATATTACATTGTCAGTATCACTGTAACAGGTGGTGATTAAGTTATTATGACTGGATTTCAGAACAAAGTTGTTTTGGTACCAGATCAGATTAAACTCCTAGTCATAGAAGCTACCACAGTTTTACTGACGTCATTGACAGCTTTAGATGTAAGTTCTGAATCAATAACTTTACATCAAGAATCTACGACTAACATTATTATACATACCAAATATAGACGCAAACTTTCCTAGATAGGGATATTGTGGTTTCAAACAATTGTGTTAAAATATATCAGTTTCCTTTTTTTACTCTAGTTCAATTAACACCTATTGTGTGAAACTGATGAATGCTCCTTAGAAATAGCTTTATTGGAGGCATTTTCTGTCAGCAAATTTTGCATTTGGTCATATTAATGATACATTTACAAATCTGTTAAAATGGAGAGTTTGGAATAGGAAAGAATAATGTTACATGTATTCCTGTATGACACATATACATTAAGACCTCCGGCACACTTCCATCCAGGCCAACAAGAGTGATTAATATAAGCTAATAGCTTGTTTCACAATTGTTGTAAAATAAATAAAGATTTATATAAGCATTAAGTATCTAATATGTATGTTTATGAATATTTTGACATTGTAAATTGTGTGAGAAAATTAAGATATCAAAGCTTCGAAACTTTTTTATCAAAAGTGTACTTGCTAATTGCTATAATAAGTAGTGAGTTTCATCCCATCAATTCAAATTATAGTTATGCTCTAGACAAAAAAATTTAATGAAGGGCAATAACTCTGTATTTAACCAGTTGCAGGCAATGAATTTGGTACACTGAACATCATTTTTGTATAACCAAATGTATACACTATGTTTTATAATAAATACAAGCCAAGTTATGCTCCAGACGAAAACTTTTGCGAAAGGGTAATAATACTGTAACAAAGGGCTTGAAGGCCATGAATTGGTACACTGCTCATCATCACAATATGATCAAAGTAAACACCAGCTTCCATTATCCTCTTAAGTTTAAATGCAAGCAAATTAAAGCTCCAGACAAAAGGGCAATAACTCTCTAATAATCCTTGCTTAAGTGTGGGAAATTTATGTTCTAGACACCAAAAGGATGGACAGGAAAGTTAAGATGGTCAGACAAAACAACTACAATTTTTGGGGAGGAATGTGTAATAATATCTATTAGTTTAAATTTCATCATATGTAATTAACAAAACTGGGCATAACTGAATTTGTTTTATAAATAACATACATTTTGTAAGGGTTCAATCAGTTATCGACTTTAAAGTGAACGTCTCTTTTCAGGTTTAATTGTATTATCATTATGTTACCATTATCATAGTCACTGAAATAAAATCCCATTGTCACCTACTTCTAGCCTTCTCATATCTGGTTCAAGCCCTTTAAGATCAATGGTAAAGGGATGTGTTGAACAGTCACCAAGGTAGAAGACCTTAAGAATTCATCTGTATCATGTATTTATACAAGAATTTGTTATGTTTGAAAATTCTTTTGACAATATTAATATACACTGGTTAAATGTACCAACAGGTGATTCTAGTAATTTGCTTGAACTGAGGCGGTCGTGATATGACCTAAATGAAATCAGGTGAGATCAGGCTACACTGAGAATTTTTCATTTGTTTATTACATAGAAAATAAAGCTGTCACAAGCTGCTTTCTATCATTACAAACATTTTTTCAGCAGGCATTTCTGACTCTGAATATGATACTTTTCAATACAAGACCACTTTAGTTGGAGAAATGACATTTAGGACAAAAACAGTGATGTAACAGGTTACTGATAGATCAGGCCATAGATATATAATGCCCATATAAGGATGTGGATGTGACAGTGACACGTGGTTTATATATGGAAGATGTTGCCCCCTTTATAATACCAAAACACCCACAGAAAGACATCACAATCATGGTGCTTATTTCCACTGTGAGTTAATTTCCCTCGATTGATCATATAGCCGAATATCCTTACATCCAATACTGCAAGTGATAATAAATTGGCAAAAAATAAATGATTGAGTGGAAACTGTTTGTCTAACCTAGAAGTAAAGAGCAGATGTTTGGTACAGGAAAACTGGTAATGCAGTCAATACAGGAAAATGTGTAGGCCAGGACCTGCAGGCAGGGAAGGTGATGTGACTGTGAATATTTCTTTGTTTTTGGTGGTAGGGGCAGAGCCATTGATGAAGCTAGTATTGGAATGTTGGTGGATGAGTGCGAGTTGGTGAGTGGGTTGGTAGGTAAGGACAGCATCAGTGTTAGGGCCTGCATCTGTGTTGGAGAGTGAGGACAGGGTTGGTGATAGCGCCTGTGTTTTTTGTGTTGCTATGAGAGGACAGCAACAGTGTTAGGGCCTGCATCTGTGTTAGAGAGTGAGGACAGGGTTGGTGATAGTGTATATGTCTGTTAGTAGGGGAGGACAGGGTTGGTGATAGTGCATATGTCTGTTAGTAGGGGAGGACAGGGTTGGTGATAGAACCTATGTCTGTTAGTAGGGGGGAACAGGGTTGGTGAGAGTGCCTGTGTTTGTGTTGGTGGGGTAAGCATTTGTTTGTTGGTGGATGAGGGCAGGGTCAGCAATGGGGTCTGCATCTTTGCATTTGGCCCCAGTTGTGATGATTATTTGTAATGATAATAATTCGTAATTCTAAATGCAATCCTATAGCTTTAAACAAGAACAGTTCAGATAGGTATTATGTAATCCTTATATTTGTTTGTTTCTTTGTTTATTAAGTTAATTGCCCCATGAACAGTAAATATCATTTTGAGGCAGGGTTTCCATGTGACAGCTGGTGGCTACAGCACTGAATTACATGTGGGAGGCCCGTCACATATTCTGCCTGAAGCAATAAAGCAAAAGCATCTTGTCCAAGGACACAACCACTTCAGCATAGACCAATCTGCTTCTCAGCTTCCTGAGAAACACAAACTGCCATGGGTATTGAGTGTCAAAACACATACGGGACATACCAAATATATTCGAGTACATACAAAATGCTATTTAACAAAATACTGTATAATGATGCTTTTTACCAGCTGATAGAACACTAAGTCTGATGTTTCAGTTCACTGACTTTATATTGCAATTTCTTAAGCAAACAAACCTGTCATACAAAATGATATGTCACATATAGTATTTACCGGTAAGTGATGCAGAGAAATATTTCTCATTTATCAGTTGTAGAGATTTGCCTACCACAAGGTGGGTGTGGCTATATATGTCTATCAGTAATCGCAAGAATTTTGCATTATTATGTCTAAAACAGCTAATAACCAAATAATCAATCTCAGTCGCATGCCGTTTGATATTTTGATACAAATGATCATAAGGTTGAATTTATCATCTATTTCTCCAATTGAGGGATTTAAAGGGTAGGTGTGGGTGATGGCTTGTATTTGTAGACCCCTATTTTAGTCATCATTATTAGCAAATCCATAGAATTGAATACAATGTGAAGAAGGTACTGTTTGTTTATTGTTACTTTCCATCCTATTAACAGCCAGGGTCAATTCAGGACAACCCAGGTTTGCAGGGGTGGAGATTAGTTGGAGTTCCTTGAGAAAACACATTGACCAGTACCTGCCCCACTAAGGCCTCAAACTGGCAACCCAGAGGTGGAGAGCTAGTGAGATGGACAGATGCATTAGCCACTCGGGCCACAATATGTACTATCACTGACCATTATCTGTATGACATTCATAGAAGCATCTCTTATCATCGTGGTTGTTTGAAGCAAACATTCATCCATCCATCATAAAGAACAGTGCCTTCCAAGATTTTTGTTTGTAGCAGCAACTGAACACCAAGTTGAAACCAGAGAAATTTCAGTAGATTCTCATGAGGCACACATATTCTCTGTGATCTATTGTCTGCCAATTGATATGATGCTATGTAATGATAAATGCCTACCTACGGTACACAATGTACAGATACATCACTCCACCCATCAATCAGCCGTGCCTTATTGATTTTCACTGAAGCAAATGTCAGCTGTTATGTAAGATAGGATGGGATTCTAGACATACATTTATTTATACCACAAAACACAACACTGAATATACATACTTTCACATCACTGTATGCATACAGAACAATTCAAAAAGTCTGAAATCCCAATAACAATAAATTGTCACTTGGATACATTTTTAAATATATATATAAATGTACCTTCATAAAAAATATATTAAAGATGACAGGCTGCTGACTTTCACAAAAATGAGTATCACTGTCTGACATATTTCTGTCTAATACGGTGTAATAATGACCACGATTTGAGGTATATTCATCTGATTTAGTATTCTTTTATTTCATGTGAATTAATATGGTAGAAAACTTTCATAGGGCAGCTGTTATAAACACTTCTGAACTGTTTATGTGTTACCGAATGTTAAGCTGTGAAGAAACAAGTATATATCCTCTTGTATTTCAAAACTCATAAAACAGTTTCTATATAAAAATTTATAAATGATTTTTCAACAGAATAAATTTTTTTTATATTTTGATATGGTTTTATCATTTCTACAAATCATGTAAACATTTAATCTACATATATGGTCTCTTGAGCTAATCAGGCCAAGAACAAGGTGACACTGCAATCAGTATGAGTTTCTCTCATGATGTGTTAACATGGTTATGATAATGCACATATTGTACCACACCACTGATTAAACAAGTCAACGTCTCCAGGAAAATGCCCTCCAATGCTTATACAACCCATATTTTAAAATTACCATCCATGTATGTTCCAGAATGAAGACCAGTTCAATGCTGGTTAAGTGACCGACAGCGTTTTAAGATTCAAGTTTACAACAATATTACGGCCCTAAATAAATGTTTATTGATCTTTGCTGTTTCAAGTGCATGAGGAGAGACTTACTTGTTTATGAGTAACCCCAGGTACACCAGCAATAGTGTCGCGAGGAATTGTACAGAATTGAACACTAAGATATCTTGATGTTTTAGCTAACAAAATTCTATTGAATATGAAAAATGCCTCTGTCGACAGTACCAAACGAATATCTGAATACTTGCTGACATTGCTGCTAAAATCACTTAAGCGATGTCACTGAATCTTTGACATTCTATAAAAAGTAATGGTGATTTTAATTTTATAACTATAGCATACAAAATCAGACGAGGTACATATTCTTAAGCTTTATATACAGCCTAATCAAATCCCTTGCCTTATGAAAAAAGTCAGAGAATGAGCTAGATATTTACTTGAATTAACCCTGACATATCCATGAACTCAAAGACGTGGTCCTTACTGTCCAAGATATTACAATGCGCTATAGTTTGGTAAATTAGATTGTGTTAAGTTTGATTGAAATCCTTCAAGAAATAAGCAAATAAGTAAAGCTGAGGACTAAAATCAAAAATAGTTAAGGTTCACAACCACCCTAAAAATGTTTTGGACAACTTGTGCTACATGGCAAAAATACTATCCTTAGCAATATATCTAGCAAAGTACGCCCTTAACAACAGTCACTGTGATTCAATGCCAATAGAATTTTTACAAGGTATATGGTTTGTTTGCTGGGCATATGACTTACTTGCATGGGAGTATCCTGATGACATCAGAGGCTTTGTATCCTTCTATACACACAGCACACTGGTCAAACTCAGACTCCAACTCCTGTCAAAGACAAAATAATATTAACACACTGGTCAGACTCAGACTCCACCTCCTGTCAAAGACAAAGTAATGATAACACACTGGTCAAACTCAGACTCCAACTCCTGTCAAAGACAAAATAATATTAACACACTGGTCAGACTCAGTCACAAAATCACACCTCCTGTCAAAGACAAAGTAATGATAACACACTGGTCAAACTCAGACTCCAACTCCTGTCAAAGACAAAATAATAATAACACACTGGTCAGACTCAGACTCCACCTCCTGTCAAAGACAAAGTAATGATAACACACTGGTCAAACTCAGACTCCAACTCCTGTCAAAGACAAAGTAATAATATTAACACACTGACTCCACCTCCTGTCAAAGACAAAATAATATTAACACACTGGTAATGATAACACACTGGTCAAACTCAGACTCCAACTCCTGTCAAAGACAAAATAATACACTGGTCAGACTCAGACTCCAACTCCTGTCAAAGACAAAATAATAATAACACACTGGTCAGACTCAGACTCCAACTCCTGTCAAAGACAAAATAATATTAACACACTGGTCAGACTCAGACTCCACCTCCTGTCAAAGACAAAATAATAATAACACACTGGTCAGACTCAGACTCCACCTCCTGTCAAAGACAAAGTAATGATAACACACTGGTCAGACTCAGACTCCACCTCCTGTCAAAGACAAAGTAATGATAACACACTGGTCAAACTCAGACTCCAACTCCTGTCAAAGACAAAATAATAATAACACACTGGTCAGACTCAGACTCCACCTCCTGTCAAAGACAAAGTAATGATAACACACTGGTCAGACTCAGACTCCACCTCCTGTCAAAGACAAAGTAATGATAACACACTGGTCAGACTCAGACTCCACCTCCTGTCAAAGACAAAGTAATGATAACACACTGGTCAGACTCAGACTCCACCTCCTGTCAAAGACAAAGTAATGATAACACACTGGTCAGACTCAGACTCCACCTCCTGTCAAAGACAAAATAATAATAACACACTGGTCAAACTCAGACTCCACCTCCTGTCAAAGACAAAGTAATAATAACACACTGGTCAGACTCAGACTCCACCTCCTGTCAAAGACAAAATAATAACACACTGGTCAGACCCAGACTCCACCTCCTGTCAAAGACAAAGTAATGATAACACACTGGTCAAACTCAGACTCCACCTCCTGTCAAAGACAAAGTAATGATAACACACTGGTCAAACTCAGACTCCACCTCCTGTCAAAGACAAAATAATAACACACTGGTCAGACTCAGACTCCACCTCCTGTCAAAGACAAAATAATGATAACACACTGGTCAAACTCAGACTCCACCTCCTGTCAAAGACAAAATAATATTAACACACTGGTCAGACTCAGACTCCACCTCCTGTCAAAGACAAAGTAATGATAACACACTGGTCAGACTCAGACTCCACCTCCTGTCAAAGACAAAGTAATGATAACACACTGGTCAGACTCAGACTCCACCTCCTGTCAAAGACAAAATAATAATAACACACTGGTCAAACTCAGACTCCACCTCCTGTCAAAGACAAAGTAATAATAACACACTGGTCAGACTCAGACTCCACCTCCTGTCAAAGACAAAATAATATTAACACACTGGTCAGACCCAGACTCCACCTCCTGTCAAAGACAAAGTAATAATAACACACTGGTCAGACTCAGACTCCACCTCCTGTCAAAGACAAAATAATGATAACACACTGGTCAAACTCAGACTCCATCTCCTGTCAAAGACAAAATAATATTAACACACTGGTCAGACTCAGACTCCACCTCCTGTCAAAGACAAAGTAATGATAACACACTGGTCAAACTCAGACTCCACCTCCTGTCAAAGACAAAGTAATGATAACACACTGGTCAAACTCAGACTCCAACTCCTGTCAAAGACACAAAACACTGTCATGAGACACACATACATATACAACCTACAAGACAAGGAATTATGGGGCACATACCATGTAAACCATCAACTGACATGGCCACAAAACTCTGTCATAGGGAACACATATAATTGCAAAACAAATAGTTACTGGGGACATATATACAATGTGGTAAATTTTGGCTGATCAATCATCAGATCGATTTACATTTTTCAAATTCAAGCTGATAACAATGGTACTAATAAAGCCTGTTAACCATGTCCTAAACAACAAAATAGCAACCAACATTTGAGTAAAATATTTGACCTTTTCCTGAAGCAATCTCAATCTGCAAGCACTGCATGTTTCTTTGTTAAGAAAACCTAGCTGAAGCAACAGCCAGAACATTAAGCTAATTGTATCTAGTTTTAGATATCTAGATACAGGTACTAATCTAATCACTGGCTGATTCAATCACCAGAAAATCAATACCTGCACATGTGAGACTACGTGTTCTGTTCTCACCCCGGTACAACATACATGGCATTACTTCTAATAATGTCATGCCTGCAAACTCGACATACACTGAAGCCGAAGCGAATGATATTTTTATCATAATCTTTTTCCGCAAGCAAACCTATTACAATAAAGTAGAAAAGCACTTTTGCAAGCGCATCAGCTTGTCTCATTCCTACATGACCTCGTTAATTGATTAATCCATGCCCAGAAAATTTTATGAGAATCTCTTCAACAGTTCTAGAGAAATGATACCTAGAAAACTTCTTAAAAAATTCTTAATACATGCATCTTCTTTGAAAAGTTTGAAAGAATCAAATACAAAAGGGTTCCAAACTTACAGTGTAACTACATTGTAGAAATAAATCAATGATGAAAACCATTTTAATCTGCAGCTGGAGAAAAAGTGGTTGTGAAAAGATCAAATTTATGACAATTGCATAGATCACATTGAACACTGAACTTGTTCGTGTTTACTGAATAAAATCAAATTATAATTTAAGAAATCAAAATAGATAACAGCTGCAGGTATCTTGAATGCTCCACTTTACCTCAAATGGGGACAAGCTCACCACTTTATCACTTTATCTTAAATGGGAGCATGCTCACTACTTGACCTCAACTGGGGGCATGCTGAAGCCTTTATCTCTAATGAGGGTATGAACACCACTTTACCTTACATACCGACATGCACATCACTCATGCTGAAAAATCTGATAAATTTAATCAAGAAAAGATCTCAAATGAATTGCCATTTGAAACAATTGAATATTAAGAACTATAAGAAGTGCTTTGTGAAAAATAGCATTATAACAGACAACCTCAACTCCAAATATTTGCTTGCCAGTAATTTTGACTTTATGATCAGTCGAAAAATTTTAGATTCAAACCTTATTCTAGAAAGAGCCATGAGGGTCAAGAAAAAGTTATGAATATTATAAGGGCAGACTACGAACTTGGGCAATTTGAATTTCAAAGTCAAAGTAAGTAGCCTTAACAGATGATGGGTGGTTAAAAACTTATTGAAACAATAAAAAATTTCAAAATGTACTTTATAATTCATTTGACTTTCTGAAAAAAAGAGGAATTCAAGCTTTAAAAAAAACTGCAGTATTCTTGCAATTGACTTAGAAAGATGTTGCTGCTATAGGTAACTACATTAATGCAACACAAACCTTGTCTCCAGTTTTAACTGTTCTTTGGGGAATTTTAGCTATCGCTTTCTTGGCAGCACTCGCCAATCGTCTCTGAAAATAAAAGAAATAAATAACTGAAAAATCTAATATCAAAAGTTCTGTGATATCGACAATTACCAAATTAGATTTAAGGTCTCATTTCAGTGATTTTGCACAAAAGTCAACTTGTCCAAAATCCAAATGCTGACATTTCTAACAGTCTAAAGTCATTCTGTCCAACACTATTCAAATTTGGGCTGAAGTTTTACGAGTCTCCAGCTAGGTAAAATTGCTGTTGTAACTTTATCTTTCCAAGTTTCACTTGTGATAAATTGACAGGTGCATGTGTGTAATTCCAGTACATTGTAATAGCTATGTATTTCAATGGTCCATAAAACATGCAATACCACAAGTCAACATCACAGCTTTGAGGTAAACAACTGAAACTAGCATGTATTTATTAAGTAGACCAGTTAATACAGGATATAGTATTGAGAGTTTTTCATTTAGGCCACATAAGACAGGGAGTTGTTATATACAGGGAGTTGTTATATACAGGGAGTTGTTATATACAGGGAGTTGTTATATACAGGGAGTTGTTATATACAGGGAGTTGTTATATACAGGGAGTTGTTATATACAGTGAGTTGTTATATACAGGGAGTTGTTATATACAGGGAGTTGTTATATACAGGGAGTTGTTATATACAGGGAGTTGTTATATACAGTGAGTTGTTATATACAGGGAGTTGTTTATATACAGGGAGTTGTTATATACAGGGAGTTGTTTATATACAGGGAGTTGTTATATACAGGGAGTTGTTATATACAGTGAGTTGTTTATATACAGGGAGTTGTTATATACAGGGAGTTGTTATATACAGGGAATTGTTATATACAGGGAGTTGTTATATACAGGGAGTTGTTTATATACAGGGAGTTGTTATATACAGGGAGTTGTTATATACAGGGAGTTGTTTATATACAGGGAGTTGTTTATATACAGGGAGTTGTTATATACAGGGAGTTGTTATATACAGGGAGTTGTTATATACAGTGAGTTGTTATATACAGGGAGTTGTTATATACAGTGAGTTGTTATATACAGGGAGTTGTTATATACAGGGAGTTGTTATATACAGGGAGTTGTTATATACAGGGAGTTGTTATATACAGTTTATATACAGGTTGTTGTTTTATATACAGGGAGTTGTTATATACAGGGAGTTGTTATATACAGGGAGTTGTTTATATACAGGGAGTTGTTATATACAGGGAGTTGTTATATCCAGGGAGTTGTTATATCCAGGGAGTTGTTATATACAGGGAGTTGTTATATACAGGGAGTTGTTATATACAGGGAGTTGTTATATACAGGGAGTTGTTTATATACAGGGAATTGTTTATATACAGGGAGTTGTTTATATACAGGGAGTTGTTTATATACATGGAGTTGTTTATATACAGGGAGTTGTTATATACAGGGAGTTGTTATATACAGTGAGTTGTTTATATACAGGGAGTTGTTATATACAGGGAGTTGTTATATACAGGGAGTTGTTATATACAGGGAATTGTTATATACAGGGAGTTGTTATATACAGGGAATTGTTATATACAGGGAGTTGTTATATACAGGGAGTTGTTATATACAGGGAGTTGATATATCCAGGGAGTTGTTATATCCAGGGAGTTGTTTATATCCAGGGAATTGTTATATACAGGGAGTTGTTATATACAGGGAATTGTTATATACAGGGAGTTGTTATATACAGGGAGTTGTTATATACAGGGAGTTGTTATATACAGGGAGTTGTTATATCCAGGGAGTTGTTATATACAGGGAGTTGTTATATACAGTGAGTTGTTATATACAGGGAGTTGTTTATATACAGGGAGTTGTTATATACAGGGAATTGTTTATATACAGGGAGTTGTTATATACAGGGAGTTGTTATATCCAGGGAGTTGTTTATATCCAGGGAGTTGTTATATACAGGGAGTTGTTATATTCAGTGAGTTGATATATACAGGGAGTTGTTATATACAGGGCCGGGTCACCAACATAGTCTAGACTGTGCATCAAAAAATTGCACCTACATCCATAAAAATTTGCATCTGAAAACACAAGTTTCAAAATGCAATTGCGCTGATCTTTTACAAGCATTTTTAGGTCACCCAAGATTTTCATGGTGACCTATACATTGTGATTGCCTTCTGATGGGCTCCATGGGTCTGTACCTAAGAACTGATTTCAACAAACTTTTGCAGAACCCTCCCAGCCCAATATAAACCAAAGTATCATAATGAATTATATGATCAAAGCAGCCCCCTACCCCCAACCCCCACCCCCACCAAGGGTCTGAGGGGCAGGGTCTAATGCTGTCAAATTGACTCAAATTTCTAAAATCTTCTTTTCCACACCTAGATGGTAGAATCAAATGCTCTTTCTGGTTGGAAAGATATAAAGGTACTTTATCAAAATTATGAATTTCCTGACCCCAGAATTTTTCCCCTGTTGAGGGGTTGAAGTTTAAGTTTCCACAGGTAAATTGCATCTTTTCGCAAAACACTGTAAACTTTCCATTGACAATATCTAAGAAAGAATTATTAGCATAGGATGACAGTTTTGATGGTATGCAATAAACTGCCACTGGCTGACCCCTAACCTTTAAACATATCACTTCAAAATAATTATCATCAATGACACAATCTATATAATCTATAATCTTTATAGTGCTCACCTGAGGTGACTGACATGGCTGCTACGCCTTTTGTAGTTTTATATTCATTACTTGACACCAGCATTATTACATAAAACATTGTGTTCAATAGTGTTGGGCTGATGAGCAATTGTAATTGAAATCAAATATAAAAAAAAATGGGAGAGAGAAAAACTGGCAACAATCAATTATGAGAAACTCGTAATCAATTCAGAACTTCTTCATCAACTTTGTCTGTTTACTGGAAATAAGTTTCCTATAGGCTGTGTTATTATTTGAAGTTGATTCTGGTCTACTTTTTGAAAAAAAAAAGTTGGATGAATTTGCTGGGAACAGAATATTCTGATTTAAACAACTGTTTGACTGCACTGAACCACCATAATGTAATAATCATAAAAATCATTACAAAACTATATTTGTTAAACGATCAATTATCAATCGGTCTGAGTTTTATAAACAATTTGGTGAAATCAGCTGTGATTTCTCAGCAGTTTTCAAACACTGTACAGATTACAAATGTGTGTGAGCCAAGTACAGATTATCAAACACCAACCATGTCAATATTCTCACTCCGACTACCAACTAACAAACATTAATGATGCAATATGCAACAGCTGATTGAAGATACATTTTTATGACCAAATTCACCAGACCTTGTGATTAAGAACATGGAGACCTGTGAGAATGTATGTAACCTTGACACCTCTTCAAGGAGAGGAATCCTCAGATCATCTGTGCTGGCCAGACTGAAGGAAACTGTAAAGGCCTGCTAGCCTGATACACACTTTGTGATATACCAGTACATGTGCATCGGCTGACTGCATTCTTTTCAATCTCTTGATAAAGCCTGGTTTAGGCTTTCATCTCTTCACTTGCTTATTTTTTCAACCATTTTCAGTCCAATGACTTCAGTTTCCATTGTGAAGGAATGTGAAATGAAATACATTGACTCCCACATATGACATTCAGTATAGTTTCAGTTACCCTGTTTTGTAGGGAATATCTGAACTATGGGTAAAGCTAACCAGCATACAGCTTAATGCCAGAGCCCACTGTATGTTTTGCAAGACTTTGTCAGATTGTGTGTACATATGTATGTATACACAATATCTAGGTAGAAAACAAAAGCTTGTAGACTTTCCACAACCTAAATACACATCACACAAACCAAAACACTATAATCTGTACACATGTGTTCCAGGTACTACTCAGGCTGTATTACATAACCTAACAAATGGTCATCAAAACAGAAAATAATACATAAAAATTTCAAATTAGCTTACACATACAGGATATGTTTTCAAAATTCGGGATAATTAATTTTTATCACTTGCCCTGTCGGACAGGTGATTACCCAACTTTTAAACCTGCCCATCATGAATGATGACTTGGCCAGTTCTAAAAACGTTTTTGTTCTTTGTACTTGTATGCTTTAAATGTAAGATATCTTATATAATGAATGTGAATTTCTCATCATGTGCATATATGTCCACAGCATATAAACATTTAACCTTACAAATTCTAACTCAAAGTGATAGGATGTGCTTGTTTGTAATCCTACTGAACTGTAGATGGGTGAGCTTATTAATTATCAAGCATGGGATTTTTTGTCAGATAAATATGGTAATATGTACGACATCAGAGTATTTAAAGGCTCATTTTCTGAATGGTGATTCTCAACCTTTTACAATATGTCTAAAACTAAAATGCCAATTCATAACCATAAGTAAACTGACTAGACAACACTTTTACTTGTATTGCTATTTGTTCCTTAAAAGGTTTACGCCTGGACTTTTCATAATTTGATATATCAGCCTAAGATGATGCAATAATGCAAGTGTCCAATCCTTCTAGGCAAAGACAATCATGAAAGCTTGTCTCTTTTCCTTTAGCTTAGCCCAGTGAATATACAAATTTTGAAAGTAGAAAAAGGTCATGTCACATCAAAGTGTTACTTTCGTGATGGCAAGATTCTATTTACCGCATAAGACATAACTACACAAGTAACACTTTGATTCATTTATTTACATTCAAAGTAATTTTAAAAAGTTGAAAAATAAAAGTATTTAAAAAAAAAATATAAAGGAATTCAATTATCAAAATCATTCAAGTCTATTAGTTTATATGGCTTTACTGCTAAATTGCCACTTAGAGTGATATTTTTGATCAAATAGTCCTAGATATCCAGATACTCTTGTTTATGTTACAATTGTTGACAAACGCATATTATATGGAACTGGGTACATGTCATTGTGTGCAAATACCACTTAACCTGTTACAAAGCAATTTTATATTTCCGACACTGATGAGCCGAAAAAACAAAATATCTTTAACATACCTATATGATATTTGTTGTTCAATAAAAAAAAATATTGTGTAACTGTAATAGCAGTAGCTGACTTCCATGCACATGTAATTGAATATCATAAACACATGATCATTTCCCATGGTGATTTTCCACTAATTTCATTTGATTCCAACAGTTATATTCTGTTCAGGTTTGTATTAAATGATATGTAGGGTTTAATTAAAGAAGAATATTCCACTCTCAATTAGGGAGGTGTCATGAAAAAACAATTATATTAGAAGTGCCTGCTTTCTACTTTACTGTAAGACATGGTCCTTCGAATAAACACATTGACGTCACATGTACCACATGACCATTTACCTCAATATATTTCACACTTGTGCGTAAAGCATACTTTTGACTGCCTAAAAATAACTATCGTGACATTTGAATGACGTAATATTGTTGGTAGTGGTATTTGGATTATATCATGACAGAAATCGATGAAAGTCATCGCCAAAACCCTTAAAGGAGATCTATAGGTCCATTGCCTTTTCTCCCATCTCCTTGTCTTATGACAATAAAAATTTACTGATATATTTGATGTGTATCACATTATATGTACTTGTTTAAATACCACTAAAAACTAAATCTTTAGTAAACAGATCAAGCTATATGGACTTTGCAGTCAGTTTCAAAATCATGCTTTTAAAACCAAAATAAAATTTTTGTAAATGAATTCATGTAACATGTAACCAAATTGGAAAGTTTAAATGTCCATATGTACTATACTCCATGTTTGATTTGAATAGCACTTGTACTTTGTGAGAAACTGAGCTAAATGCAACACTTCCGATTCTCAGCATCCCTAATTAGAAAGCTATACATTTGGTAAATGATCGTTTTGTTGAGGTATCCACAATAGGAAAAACTGAAATGTTGATGTCGACACCGTCACATCCAGAGAAAAAGTAACACCATAGTCATGTATCTGCAATTTTTTGTTACAGAGGAGAAAAAAGGGCTCTGACATTTGATTGCATCTGAGAAATAGTTACAATGAGCAGTTTATTATGAAGAAAGAAAGTAGTTCCAAGATCTATACCATCGATAAAATGTGGGGTTTTTTTTACGACAACCATGGGCTTTTATTAATTAGCACTGATGATATACTGATCTTATGAAGTACATGACATTCCGATATAAAAATGAACACTACCACAAAATTTGGAATGACTCCACACAGCACTCACATCCATGAAGTCCCATAGCTAGAATGTATCAATTATTTAGGTATTTTTCTGTTTTTGTAACGATCATATATGTAGATATGATAAATATTGTTAATGCCATTTCATTTGAGCATTTTTGTTTTGGGAAGGGCCCTCTTGCAAGTGACTAAAGTTTTTAAACCTATTTCTTTGAAATATATTGAAATGGTTTACATGAAATGTTAAAATATCTGTAATAATTTGTAAAATTGTAACAACTTTCTCCAGTCCAAAGACCAGAATCAATGGTAAAACTATCTGGCATCCCTCACAAGAATATTTCTTTAACACAGATGTATTTTCAATGTCTCCTCAACCTTCCCCAATAAGTAAGATTATTCTAGGAAACAGTCATAGAATTCTATCAAGATCTTCATGTACGTATACGCAGCCATGGAAATAAATCAATTTCTCTCCAGATCACAGCGTGCCACAACTTCCAGGCTTCTTCATAACATGTAAAGATTTCGATCAATATCTTGCCAGCTTCATTGTCTAGGTTCTGCTTTTGACATTCCAATGCTCAGCATGCATGCCTAAAGCAAATGCGTTGTTACAGTAGAGTTTCAGTTCTATGACATACCTGTTTCAGGTATAATATCTTTAGTGCCAGATGTGTTTTTCATAGAAATGATTAATGTTTTTGACACAATGTATACTTCAAAGGATCTACAAAATCAAAACCTCTTTAAATGTAACTCTCATTATCTTTATGCATTTCATTATCACAGCACAAAAATATGTTCACCACTTTGATTGACATAATTATCTGTAGTTTATATAAATGTAATTAACAGCTTCATAATATGCCATTGGCAAAAATACCATATACTCGGTAATGAAATAGAAGGTTCTATCAAAAAATATTACCATCTAGTATGAGGTGTCTTCAGAAATATGGTTGAACATGGTGTAATTGGCTTAAAATGCTTTGTTTCTTATAGAAAGAAGAACAAACATACCAGGATTTTTCCAAACTCTTGTGTAAAATTGTAAGACAAAACAACAGGTAACATGGTCCTTGTACAGCTAACATTGATATTAAAACAAAAATTAAAACTTTATGGTATTTCAAAGTGCCTGTACCTGCTAGCCAAATGGCATGATCCTAAAGTCTACTGAATTAGTAGAATCCTTACCTTGATTTTAATGTGTTTAATGCATATTTCCTTGAAATTATGTAAATGTCAGATGCCCCAGTGATAAGTGGACAGACAAAACACTGTTCATTACTTTAGCTCTTCAATTCATGTGAAGTCGGTATTTTATTTCTATATAATTAAATATACATATATATTACAGGAATAATGTTAAAAATTCTTACATTTTTATCTTTGCATATAATTATGAAATAAAAATACTACACATAGAAAAAATAAATGTTCCTTGCAAGCTATATATAATAGTATTCATAACTGCAACTTACCGTTAATCTTTCTTTGGCATGAGCATAACGGAAGCGTTGAATATAGTAGAAGACCAGCCATGCAAGGGAGATAATCATCAGCACAATGAAAGAAATTGAGACAAAGAGGACTGAGGTCTTGCTAATGTTGTGAGGATTGAAGGTAGGGTCTTCTGTCTTGGGTAGCGTTACAGTTCCAACTGTTATATGCATCAACACTTTGTACTTCTTTTCTAAAAGATTCACAATCTGTTGGCCTTCTTCATTTTTTATGTAGATGGTCACCACATCTTCAACTGAAAAGGGAAAAAATAAATTTTAAAGGCTGTGGATGGGCTTATTACCAAACATGGGATTATTTCGAGATATACATCTTTGGTGTAGTATATCAAATGTATTGCTGTACTGATATGGAGCAGTTGTCATTTTTTCAGTAGAAATTGATCATGATTCAAAGCTTAAGTGTTTCATTATACAAAGGGGAAAAAAGCCTTTTTTAAGATTTTACACAAAACAGAAAGAAAATAATTTCAAAGTGTGTCTGAAAATTTTTAACATTCATTACTACTTAAGAGTCAAAAACACGTTTGAAGTCATATAGGGTAGCTGACCGGCCTGTTGGTTTAATTTTGACCTTGAGCTCAAATCTGAAGTAGAATTTCAAGCTTGCCCAGGGAAAACTTCTGAACTTTATCAATGATTACAAATACACTTAACATACATGTATGTTCAGGGAAAACAAGTGACATTATCAGATCTTGGTAAATAGAACATAAAAGAAAAAAAATTGCTGTTTCAATAAAATGTGACATCAATCAAAATTTCACATCAATCAATTTGATTTTCACAGTACTTATACTACAATATATATGTAAACAAAAACATGCAGATTTACATTTATTACATGTTACTGTAGAAGAATAAGGTATTTCAAGTTTTAAAGGATATGCAGTAAAATCATGTTCTTTTTACTGATGCATGTTTTATAATATGCTATCCTGGTATTCACAGTGGATTTCCAAGGTCTAGTCTGACCACATAATTCACTCGAGAAACCCCTCTCAAACTTCGACCTCATAGTATCATGTGACAGTTTTGAAAATGAGGCAGTTCATTTGTATACACATGAACACATGTGATGGTGTAGAAAATTTTAGTGATTGGTATGAAAAGATCAGTTTTTTGGCACTCAAATTTGTTATAAACAAGTAGACATTGCTTGATAGCTCAAATTTAATTAATTTCTGTCTCACTTTAGCTGTACATGCAAAGCTTTGACCTCATTTGACTTGGTCAGTCCATTAGCTAATCCAGCAGAATACATATGCATTATCCCAATTGCTTTCTCATCTGAAAAGTTCCCATCTGCCATCATCAGCTTCCCCAGCAAAGTTCTGAGGTTTTCTTCTGCCCAATTGGCTATACTTTGCTTTATGGACGACATCTTAACATTTTTCTAGTTGCAACCATGGGAAGTAATTCTTGTTTACTGACAGGATGTATTGTAATCATGTGTCATATATATATATATATATATATATATAAAACAAAAAAATTATAAACTGTATACAGACTGTTTTCTTTTTATAATTACTAATTAGCACCTTTATGTGCATAGTCATCAGAAACCAAATCTATCACTGTTCATAAGATGACTTGATATGTATGCAATAATAATAAAAACAACCGATTGTTTTACAAAAAAATAAGTTTGACTGTGACGTCTCTTTAAAGGTAACATTTACTACTTTGGTACATATATATATATCAAATGAACTGAACTGAGATCACTACATGTATCAGTACAACTGAAACTGTAATTAAACTAGAGCTATATCTCTACATGTTGCTGTTTGAAAATAACAGGATTATTTGTTGTTTGCATTTCCTGCCATTTTCAGGTACATACTGGTACCTCTAATTCTAACATCTATTGTATTTCAACCTTTATTGATTTTCCTGGCTAGAAATGTCACTTCTAAGTCCTAACTGTTGTTAGCATTGCCAGACAAAATGTATATATATTCAATGAAAAAGGTTTTACAATTTGTAACATTTTATTCCAGGAAAAATCACAAGCCAATAAAAATGAACTCTTTTCTATCAATAACAATTATGGTGCATCAGGAAGCAAATCTGGGCATTTTCCTTATGGTAGCTTCTGGCACTCATTTGCAAAATTACGTAATACAAAACAGAGGTGCCACCTTGGCAATTACGCCAAAAGTTAATATTGAGTATGTCCTCCATTTGCTGCCACTACTCTGCCATTCCTGGTAAAGAGCATGTGAGAGTTCTACTTTGTCACTCCTGCTGAAGAGCATGTGAGAGTTCTGCTTTGTCACTCCTGCTGAAGAGCATGTGAGAGTTCTACTTTGTCACTCCTGCTGAAGAGCATGCGAGAGTTCTACTTTGTCATTCCTGGTAAAGAGCATGTGAGAGTTCTACTTTGTCATTCATGGTAAAGAGCATGTGAGAGTTCTACTTTGTCACTCCTGCTGAAGAGCATGTGAGAGTTCTAATTTGTCATTCCTGGTAAAGAGCATGTGAGAGTTCTACTTTGTCACTCCTGCTGAATAGCATGTGAGAGTTCTACTTTGTCACTCCTGCTGAATAGCATGTGAGAGTTCTAATTTGTCATTCCTGCTGAAGAGCATGTGAGAGTTCTAATTTGTCATTCCTGGTAAAGAGCATGTGAGAGTTCTACTTTGTCACTCCTGCTGAAGAGCATGTCAGAGTTCTAATTTGTCATTCCTGGTAAAGAGCATGTGAGAGTTCTACTTTGTCACTCCTGCTGAAGAACATGTCAGAGTTCTAATTTGTCATTCCTGGTAAATTGCATGTGAGAGTTCTACTTTGCCATTCCTGCTGAAGAACATGTCAGAGTTCTAATTTGTCATTCCTGGTAAATTGCATGTGAGAGTTCTACTTTGTCATTCCTGGTAAATTGCATGTGAGAGTTCTACTTTGTCATTCCTGGTAAAGAGCATGTGAGAGTTCTACTTTGTCACTCCTGCTGAAGAACATGTCAGAGTTCTAATTTGTCATTCCTGGTAAATTGCATGTGAGAGTTCTACTTTGTCATTCATGGTAAAGAGCATGTGAGAGTTCTAATTTGTCATTCCTGGTAAATTGCATGTGAGAGTTCTACTTTGTCATTCCTGGTAAAGAGCATGTGAGAGTTCTACTTTGTCACTCCTGCTGAAGAGCATGTGAGAGTTCTACTTTGTCATTCCAGCTGAAGAGCATGTGAGAGTTCTACTTTGTCACTCCTGCTGAAGAGCATGTGAGAGTTCTAATTTGTCATTCCTGGTAAAGAGCATGTGAGAGTTCTACTGTGAGAGTTCTACTTTGCCATTCCTGGTGAAGAGCATGTGAGAGTTTTACAATGAAACTAACATCATGATGCTGAAGACATTCCACATGTGTTTGTCATTGGAAGAACATGATAATTTGTCATTCCTGGTAAATTGCATGTGAGAGTTCTACTGTCAGTCCAGACAAGTGTATGGACATTATCCTGATAAAAAAACAGTTTGACATAAGGCGTGATGTACGTGGACAAACATTAACTTGCTGGAATGCTTGACGTATTAACTGTACAACTAGCTGGAGAAACAATTTCAACACAGAACCGCTGTGCAGTTAGTGTTCCTTGGACTGCCATCACCAAGTCAGTCTTTCCTCTCCAGATGATCTCTCCCCACACCATTACACTACCAGCTCCATACCCATCGCGCTGGGTAATGTTGTAGCATCATAACACTTGTGGCGTTGTCTCCATACACGCCTTCAGCTTACTGGACACAAAAGCACGACTCTTCAGTGAAAACAACTTTGTTCCATTGGCATTAAATCCACTGATGATGTGTTGCTGCCCAACTGAAAACATTCTAATTGATTTCATCATGGCAACAGAACAGCGATTACTGGATATCTACTGTGTAAACTTACTACCTGGAGACTACTCCGCACGGTTTGACAAGAAACACAAACTCTAGCAGCCTTGTGAATTTCATTAGCAACTTTCTGCGCAAAAAGGAAATGTTGACATCTTTACGTTATTACAATAAAAAGGCCCTGTAACTTGTAACTTGAAAGAAGTTGTGATATTGTTGAAGGGTGAACATGGAAGTGAAAAGCAACATCTCAAATGCACCTACCAGCATCCAACATCCCTATCATTATATGATATCTGTTTTCTGCCAAGTCTAGACATTCACCCATTTGACGTTTAGTTTTCGTGATTTTTGTTGCGAACACCTCTAATAACTTCGCATTCACCTATACACATGTCAAAGCTGTATGCAATCATGTGCTATGCAGCAGAAATGACAGAATGCATGTGTGTATGATCCCTGTGCATGGCTTTATCGAACTTATCAATTTACAATAGGCTATCACTAAAACACACCGATCTTACATCATATAAGCAAAAACATATCTGACGAAATGAAAATTAAATACAAAAACCCCATGCAGTGTATAAATATCTTTGCAGACACTTATGTCTACTATGTACCTGCATTACCATGCATTTAAGAAATTGTTAAAAAATATACTTCATATACAGCAGCTACAGCAAGTCTGAGGCTACACCTGGACCTGAGAAGTAGCTAGCTATATAGTTATATGTACAATCCAGGTGAATTTTGAAATTAAGTTATCTCACTTTAAAGCATTATACACTAGATGCATGTATCATACATATTAAATACACGTTTTCATTAAGACTTCATCATAGTTAGGCATATATCAAGCTCTCTTAAGATGCTTTCATTATGACCCATAATTCCTGCTTGTAATAAAGCCAAGTTTCATAATTAAGCAGATTTAAATTTGACATATACTACTGCACTGGTTTCCAGCCAGCTGGATATAGTGCTATTTAAACTAGCAATCTTCCCTCAGAAAATCACACATTTGCTTTATTTTGTTGTTGCTTCAGTCCTATTATGCGAGGTATTTCGGGATATACCAGGTTAATGTGGTGGAGGAGACCTGGAAAACCAGGAGAAAAACCACCAACCTGCAGCCAGTACATGGTGTGGAAAGTTAGTGAAAAAGATGATATAAGATGCCTTAACTACTCAGCCCCTGTGCCCCCCCCCCCTCCCCTCAATCACCTATGTACAATACCAATCATCACTGATCAATTACAATACCTACAATACCTAAATCCTTTTCATAGATGTACATTTCTCAGTGATTTCTGGGATTAAGATATTGGAGTCTTGGACTCATGTTTTCCTGTGGGACTCTCTTAAAATTTGGATTTGGTATATTGAACTCACCTAAAAAATCCTACAAAAATTACCATTTCTTCAGTATATATATATATTAAGACAATATCTAATATCTTAGTGGACTGTATTTTCAAACATTGAATTCTTTTATTTGGAATTTATTATGACAATATGGACATAAATGTGAGCTATTCTCTCAATCATGACAGACTAGTTATAAGGTAAAATCATTAAAGTGTAAAAGAACAGAGAAAATACACATTGCTGTCAAGTGCCCTGACCAGGAATCGAACCTGGGTCTCTGGCGATATACCAACCAGCTCTTCCAACTGAGCCAAAGAAGCATGCCTTGACATGAGTGACAGAGGTCGTATTTAACACTATAGACAAGCCACATCTACCCGCTCCTATTACAAAAGTAATAAGACACATAAACCCTGGTGTACCTTTTTATCACATTAATTATCATCATACTCATGCAAAGATTTAGGACATCATATTCATGCAGATATTTAGGACATCATTATTATATTTATGCAGAGATCTACAGCCCTACATGAATACAGTAGTAAGTTCCAGGTGTAAACACGTGCATATCACACTGTTCTCTAATGATTTCCAACTAACGATTGTGGTGCCATTGAAGTGTATACTTATATACTAAAATATATTTCTATGCAGAATGACCTAAATTGTGATACAACAAGTGACAAGATGTTGCCTGCAGTATTTATAATCAACAACATTTTATTTACTGATGAGTCTTGTAAATGCTCTGTAGTTTTCAATTTATGCATGTAAAGTTTTGAAAAAATCCTTCTAAGTACTATCCTTAATGCCATCCAGTAATATAAGAGCATTTTATTATATGCTGTTCAACCCACACATATGTATGTAGCATATCCTTATCAACAATCATGTCACTGAACTTCATAATTTTGCTCCTGGCTCTACACATGTACCCAAGTAATTTTTAATAGTATGCCCGTCTAATCATATAACATTAAATATTTGCACAAGATATGTATCAAACATGTGTAACAGCTCCATGCATTTTTCATGTTATCTCCGTGTAGACTACAAATGACCTATAAAATATCACCAGTGACAAGAGACGTATACATGCAATACACATGTAGACTATGATTGTATGGAGCGGTTGGTCTATTTTTAGACTATTTTCTTCCATCTTTGATGGCAAACACCTAAGTTATTATACAAGCAAGTGTAGCCACATGCATTTTCATTCAATGTACAAACAAGAAATATTTTTTTACAAATATCCAAGGCTACTTACCTCCTGTGGGTAACTCAACTTCATTATTGTTGACGGGCTCTTTTTCCTCTTTGGAGTTGTAAATGACCACGGCGGATGCATTGTATGTTTTAGCTGCTATTTCGATCTTTTTATTAAAAGAACAATTTCCCCTTTGGATTAAAGCAATCCAATTCCTTGAGGGTATATGATTAATCAGATCATTACATCCATCAGTATTATTTTCAATCGTCATCACTCTTACTACTTCTCCAGATTCCGGAGCAATTTTGCTGTTAACACTGAAATGGCCAAGTTCTTTGGCTTTTTGGAATAAAACATGAGTCATTCCATTATCTATATAAGTAATATTAACATTAGCTGCTGTTCGTTTCTTATTTACTGTCGAACGATTGGAATCTCTGGCACATCTTCCAGGCGGCGCAATCAAAACAACAAATAAAAGTACATGATAAACTAATCGCCATGACCTCCATTTTGGAAACGTACAAGTAACCAAAATCCTTGAAGAATTTGTTCGTTTCTCTTCATGTCCATCATCCACTTTGACTCTATTTTCGCTCAATCTGCTAGCAGTCATCTTCTTTGATAAATATTCAACCTTCGTCACCTTTGAATTTGTCTCTATAATGTCACTGACGCAGAAACATCGACACTCATCTTGCCCGTATGGGTCTGGTGCATTACATTAACATTGTTTTCATTCATGACGTCACGTGACATGTGATTTTGTGTTATTCTGCAGCGCCATCTATAAACAAGTGTGCTTTTATGAATGACGTTCACCTTATCGGGACAACGAGCAAACGCTTTTCTTTTGCAGTTCACGCTTTTTGTCCACATACTTTCACTTGATGAATGTAAACGTGTTTACGTAAGTCTGAAAAAGGACACATGACTGATTTTATCACAGGCGAGCTTAGATCAGATGAATGTTCGTTACATTTTTCACAACTTATTTCTTATACAACTAAAGCGGGACGACTAGGCTGTTGTATGGCCTACTAACCCAATTACTCAGAAGAGGACTTACACGACTGCTGATTTTTAATTCATATATGTGACGAAACTGATTTTTTCACCCCTAGAATAAATTTATTTGTTGCCCACATGCTGTTATTATGATTTTAAATTCCATAAGGTACATGTACATTTTGTGACCCTCACTTGTACATGTACATATATTTAGATATTTTTTTCTGTTGTAGATGTTCTTGATAAGATAACTTCGTTTAAACAAAGACATATATAAATGGGTCACTGATAATTGTTAATACACAAACGTATATAAGATAATTAACATTATAGCGTACTAGCGGAAATCGATTATCTTTCACGGGAAATTCAAACTCGACTTTTCGCCGGGATAAAGTACACTTTAAGTTGTTGCATGCTAATTATATTAGGAACTAGCCCCATTTTCACTTTCATGGCAAGGGATCACTACGTGACGTAGCAAGAGTCACCGGAGACGAAAAACGTGTTACTAACCATTCGGCTTTGCTATTGCACGTCACTGGTTTTCCTTAAATGAAACGACCCACGAGTTTTTATAGTTATAGGGTAAAACCGAAACACTTCATACAGTATATATATATATATATAATCTTTGTCTCATTTCTTGTATTTGTAACTTTAATTTTCCGAATGATGACGTCATATTACAAATGACACATTACAACCATGGTATCTATACTGCATATTGACAAATATTATCAAAAGGGCTTGATGTTGTTACTGGCAGCTTGAATCATACATGCCTACCCTCATACTCAATACCGTAATCTCGTTGCTATTGACTTGAAACAAGTACATGTATATTTTATGAAAAGCGTAGCCCTATTGTCTACAGTACATTCTCAACATTTCATATAATCTGTTTCTCGTCACACTTTTCCACCTTAGCGTACATAGGATAATAGTACAGCAGAAAAGGTTGGTCGATTCCTAACCATCTCTTTGACTACGCACGTCAGTTATAGTACGCTCCACTCTGGTCATTTGTCTGATGAAGGTGACTGTTTAGTCATCGTAACACAATAATTTTCTACTGGTTGTGCTATAAGAACTTCTATTAGATATTCGATGAATCTTTATGCTGGTGGTAATACAGACTGTAATATAGAAAACCTGCTAATTAATCCGTTTGATAATAACCTAACGTCAACAGTGCATTATCGTGTACGCGATTTCCCATGGCTACATATGATGTGACCGACCTGTTATCACAGGGGCCCTACCCTTCACGAGAAAAACACAATCGTTTTAAAGACTGATATAAATCTATGCAGGACACATATAACACACAAATGTCACTGAACTCAAGGTATCAGCTAGAACTAAAACACACAAATCCTTTCCAGAAGTCAGGCTTTAGGAACATCCAGATTTATTTTAAAATGATACTGGTGAGGGTCGCTGATCGATTAATACTGTACGTTTGTTACATATGACAAGTAAATCAATCATTATGTTGACGAAACAGAACAGATATATTAATCAGTCGTGGAACATTTCTTAATATGAATCTCATATTATTGACGTATATTTTTAGTTGCTATAGAAACTTAATTTGTACATATCAAGCACCAAGGCCATAGCGTTGTTTTATTTTGAAAGCTCATTTCAGAGGCGAAATTTTATTTTCCTTTCTCTAAATCTACTGTATATTAGAAATGGAACATTGATAAGTCATATGTCAATTAAATAGTAATTAAAACTTAAATACATAAAAGGCGGATAAAATGTGAATGAAGGAATTTCAGTCTAGTTGAGGCACTCTTTAAATGTTTCTGAAAAAAATAAGGTAATTAGCTTCGTCGACGACACTCGCCATAAAAAATTAGACTTGAGAATGAAAACCGGAACTGAATATATTTCCAAGACCAGCTGAAACAGCCTTTACAACGTTTTTTTTTTCTCTCATATATCCATTTGTGCTTATATTTATTTATTTATCTACCTTTCTCAAAATCAGTCTAAATATCGGTTATCAATTAGATCATGAGAGTGAAACACAAAACTTCCCCTAGCCTTTTGAAATGACGTATTGTAAGTCTTACCATCATCCATCACGAAATTTGATCGTAATGAATATCGAAATTCTTATGTTTATTATACGACTTGGTGGAAGGCTAACTGGAGAGATATAACCAATGGCGAAATACACAAAAGTGACATTCCTGATTAAACAAGGTAGACATGTTTATCTTTCACAAGAGGGCCCTATCAAATTGTACTATGTAAGCAAACACGCTTGTGTACTAGTGTATTGAAACATAGTTTAATCCTCTCATTCATTCAAATTTTTGGCTTTCGACTTAGAACTGAACATCCTACGAACAACTTACGTTACTCCTTTGCAGGGCATCACGTCTTTCTCTTCCTTCCATGTCTACTTATTTTCACTGTCTGTTTTTAATCGTTTTACACGTACAATTATGTCATGCCTCACACAAATGCACGTGTTTCTTAAATTGAGGCAAATATTAAACAAGTGTGTAATTCTTTCCTAATCTAATTCGTCTTTTTGAAGTATCCTTTTTTTATATATTGAATGTATTGTGTATACGTATGAAATAATGTTTATATTTCAGCAAACATACAAAGCCATAAAATTTATGAAAAGGTCAAATATATTCCAAATTCCGTGGCTAATTGGGTCTGTATCTAAGTACACTTGTGAGATGGTGTGAGACAAACCAGATGCTACCCTAAAAGGTAGTTTTAATTGGATACCTTAATTTTATATACTGACATCCTTATAGCGTTTTGTTTATTGAGTTACGATGTTAGAATTATCTCCCTTGTATTTGTATTGTAACAGAACAGTTCAGCTGTTTTCTACCATTCAAATCGGGTATCACAAGAACTATTCACAGGGCAGTTTGAAACCGGATTTTGTTTAAGAAGTATCACAGGAAGTTTTCAATATATATAAATATATATACATATGAGTTAAAGTTTGTCAACTTTTTTTTTGTCTGGAGAGAAAAAGTTTTTCTATGTTGATGATGCACCTAATTATAAATACATTATGGAACACGACTATATCAATAATTATGAACGTTTCATGTGACAATGCAGAGTTGATATCATCTGAAATTTCTCTGCATACGTCTTGTGACTTGCACAATGTTTAAGACATAGTACTCTAGATACGAGAAGCCCTAAGCAGAGCCAGAGAACCAAGGACTAACTGAAGACAAATAAGACATATTACACGAAGATTTACATTTTATTTTTTAAATCACACTCTTGACTCCATTTATATACTGCTTTTGTATTTTCCACAGAGCACGAAAACAGTAAGTGTATTCTTCCAAACTTGTATAAACCAACTTCGACCCTGGAAATGAGAAGAAAAACTGAAGACTAAGGATTGAGCATTGCAAAGAATGATTAAATTATCTGTAACAAGGATTACTGGGCAGCTTAAAGGATTTGTCTTGTTTCAGAAGAGTTGAATGGTTTCACGGTACTATATGAGTGGGACGTGTTCCCTTCATCGGGAACGATCGGAACTTGAAGTACGCAAGAGACAAATCATTTAGAATGTCAGCACGTGACCTGGAGATCGAAAGAGGCAATTATAGAAATATTGATATAAATAACAGGCAATATGTATTATGTAATAATCATGAGATTAAGGACTAGTAACATTTGGTAATAAAGTTACTATTTTATGCAGACGTTTGCTCGAAATTTGATAAGTCATTCTATGTCAATCGTCCGAGTATGTTTAAATTTATATAACTTATGAACTTTGAAAACGGTAAAGAATTAAACCATACACAAGGTTAGCTTCTAAGAAAAGAAAGGACTAGATTGGTTAGGATATATATCTGCTCTACAGGTAAAATACTTATAGAGGGTAATATAGTGTCGCCATTCAGGTGTCTTTGTATCCTTAACCATCTTATGAATATTTAATCTAAGTCGAGCAATGTTAAATTGGACAGCAATATTTTTTGGAAATAGTCGAAATTCCAGAACACCATTGCCGACCTAAACACTCCTATATTTACTACAATCGGTTATTTATTCAGTGTTACTGATAAGTAACTACACCGGTACAAAGTTGACCAGAAGGGGGCGGGGTTTAAAAAAAAAAGTTTGTCTATTTACCTGATGTTACATCACACTTGTGTAGTATAGACAGCAGTTCCATTTTGTCATATGACAAGAGAGTACAAATAATAGGTGATAACTGGACCGATACCAGTAGCATTTCAAAACAGACACATGTGTCCTTTTGAAGGCCGCCGCACATAGGCTATCTTTTACGTCTATCGTGTACAGAAAGCTGGTAAATGTAAGTATTGATACAACTATACTTTTGATTTAGCTTTAGTAAACATTAATACAAGATGGGTATACAAGATGAATACAAGACGGGTATCGTGTGTTTGACATGATTTAGATTTGGTGATCAGTATGTATATATATGCCAGGTGTGTCTGGTAGACCTTTCGGCGGTACCTGGAATTAATATCATCACAAATGTTTCCTGATATCGATGATAAAACAATCAAGAACATGTATTTTTATAAGTAATTGATACATTTTTATATTGGGGACCAGAATAATCGTTAAAATCAAGATTAACATATATTGCATAGTAAAGCTACCTAAATCGAAAGTTGACCGCCTGTAGCCGCCATTTGCAAAATTTGAATAATTTCTGATGACACTACACGTTGCATTAAACATCACAATGAAAACACTAAAAAAGTCAATTAAAAAAAAAATAATTGTCATGCAGATTTTGGCTCATTGATTTTTTTTATTCAATTTTTATTTATTTTGCTATGTTGGTAAGTGTTCGTTAAACTATCTCCGGTCCCGCCTTCAGATATTATTTTTAACCTATGTAAATGTTTTGAGGTAAAATCCATTGAAAACTACAATTAAGAACCGCGTCACGTGCAAAGTTGCGTCATCTTATTTAATGTGTTCCTATCACTATGTAACCCTGGTAAAATACTAGCCGCAATATACCACTCGGCTAGTGAGAACTTCTCTTTAGCTCGATTGGTTGAGCGTCAGACTAGTAAGCCAGGGGTCCCGGCATTGAAATGAAAAATGACCTCTGTTACAACTATACAGTTTGAAGGTACTACATCAAGAAAAGCATTGATTGATCAAGATTTCGGTAATCTTGAACTGCTAAGACCTGGATCATGATGATCAATACGAGAGATATACTGTTATAATACACACAAACGGTGTTTTAGTTCAGATGATTACATACTAATTCAGACCAATGACAAACACTGTGTGTATAGGATCGCCTAATGATGACCTGTCTGACTACCTGATATGTTGTTTATGTCAAAGACGACATAATAAACGTAGGGCTGTATTAAATGCACTGTTGAGGTATTACACCATACTCTATAATATGCGTTAAGCCGTTGTGGTTCAGGGTATCTGATACCGCCGAGGTAAAGTCCTTTATGTTAGATGGGGATGTTTCGAACGATTCTCATGTTTCATGTCTCGTCATTTGAATCACTAAAATAATAGCACATTTCTTTATCAAATACCAGAGCAGATATAAAGAGCCCTTATCTACTACACAAGTAACCAGTGAAAGGACTATTTATTTTTCTATGAGGGTTTGTCTTGTTTTAAAACTCGCAATACTCTCTGAATCGTTTGATTTTCCTCTTTTTGCAGGATTTGCAAAATTCTAAAAGTTCCATAAGACAATTAAACAATTTCAGGAACTGACGAAAATTACATTTGGAACTCGCCGAAATGAAATAAAATTACAACTGAGTTCAATGCCCAAGCAAAAGTGTCTGTGATGATGCAAATAAATATGGTATGAATGTCAACAGAATAAATCTGTGTACACACGTATTACATACTACTTACACTTGGCTAGAGATCACTTATATTTATATGTATGTAAGGATATTTCGTTTTCCTTTCGCTCTATTTTCGCAGAATATGTTGACCTCCCAAATCGTCCTGTGTTCGTGTGTTCAGTCAACCATAACCGAGCATGCAGGCTTCTCCCTATGTACACTGATCACCTCTTTCAAAAGCTAAGCTATGCGAAGTAAGGCATTGTTCAGGAAATCAATTACATACGAATCTTCGCGTGTTTTTGTTTCGATATGACACAAAGACGAACTAACAATGGTTAAATGACAGACAAATTGCAAGGGACATTGGAATTCTACACGCGGAAACCCTTCCAGACGTTACACTGAAGTTCATTCAGTGGCTGGAATACAGTGCCAAGACCGATCACTTATATTTATATGTATGTAAGGATATTTCGTTTTCCTTTCGCTCTATTTTCGCAGAATATGTTGACCTCCCAAATCGTCCTGTGTTCGTGTGTTCAGTCAACCATAACCGAGCATGCAGGCTTCTCCCTATGTACACTGATCACCTCTTTCAAAAGCTAAGCTATGCGAAGTAAGGCATTGTTCAGGAAATCAATTACATACGAATCTTCGCGTGTTTTTGTTTCGATATGACACAAAGACGAACTAACAATGGTTAAATGACAGACAAATTGCAAGGGACATTGGAATTCTACACGCGGAAACCCTTCCAGACGTTACACTGAAGTTCATTCAGTGGCTGGAATACAGTGCCAAGACCGATTTTTGCTCATAAAGGCACGACGTCACAAGTTACAGTCTGCCACAGCTTCAAGAAACGACCTTTTAGATGCTTCTGGTTACTGGGTAGCTACTCAGACAGCTAGGTTTAAAGTTACGTACACCGTTAATGCGAGGTCCCTTAACTGCCCGTAATAATGAAGACCAATCAAATTGGGCCCAAGCTCACAACACATGTCCTCTTGAAGAGAGGTAACCGGTTTTCACGAAAAGTCCAGATTCTTTCTCGATTTCACGAAACGCACTTTAGAGTATGGAGTTAACCTGTGGAGAGGTTCCAGAGAGATAACGATGTTGAACAGGTGTGTCTGGTAGACCTTTCGGCGGTACCTGGAATTAATATCATCACAAATGTTTCCTGATATCGATGATAAAACAATCAAGAACATGTATTTTTATAAGTAATTGATACATTTTTATATTGGGGACCAGAATAATCGTTAAAATCAAGATTAACATATATTGCATAGTAAAGCTACCTAAATCGAAAGTTGACCGCCTGTAGCCGCCATTTGCAAAATTTGAATAATTTCTGATGACACTACACGTTGCATTAAACATCACAATGAAAACACTAAAAAAAGTCAATTAAAAAAAAATAATTGTCATGCAGATTTTGGCTCATTGATTTTTTTATTCAATTTTTATTTATTTTGATATGTTGGTAAGTGTTCGTTAAACTATCTCCGGTCCCGCCTTCAGATATTATTTTTAACCTATGTAAATGTTTTGAGGTAAAATCCACTGAAAACTACAATTAAGAACCGCGTCACGTGCAAAGTTGCGTCATCTTATTTAATGTGTTCCTATCACTATGTAACCCTGGTAAAATACTAGCCGCAATATACCACTCGGCTAGTGAGAACTTCTCTTTAGCTCGATTGGTTGAGCGTCAGACATGGTCGATACAGCGCAAGGTCAGTGGTGGTGTGAGGAGGCATAAGCTGACCTCCAAGTTTTTAGATATATACCTTTGCTGCGATGAAATTCAATGACGCTACTTGAGCTATGAACAAGTTTGGTAGCTGACTGGAACGATGTCTTACAAAACCGGATACGTAATCTCATTCGAGACAATTAAGGCATTATGTAGCTGTATTTGATGTTAATGGACATCACACTCGATACTAAAACAATACATTTAGGACGAATTTTGTTCATTTTAAGTGTTTTAAAATAAATACCTCGGTTTTATCAATTTAAAGAGTATCTCATTTCCTGTGGCCCTGTTTTCGACTGTAATTACCATTTTTGAATTATTTGCATGCTAATGAGTTAAAATTACAATAGATTTTTCAAGAAATAATCGTAGCACAGGAAAAAATGAAAAAATGTGTTCAGACTGATGTCCAAGAATAAAAATGACCCTTAGAAAAATGTAATATATACTAAAAGGATAAAGAAACGCAGGGTGAACTTTAAAGCGGAAATTAAGTATGATATCGGGCTTCATTTAAAACGAAATTTTGTATACTTACAGATAAATGAAAGCTTAAAAAATTCCAAAGTCTGTATTTTGCATCTGACAATTGGTTTAGAGGTACTAACGATTAAATTGAATGGACCCATAGGATTTTGAAATTGAAATTGAACTGAGTCATCAATATCTTGTGTGTCCGCCGTTTGCTGTGGTCACGGCCCTTATTCTTCTGGTCATAGAGTTCATGAGAGCGTTAATCCGTCTTATGGGGATGTTGTCCCACTCTTCAATCAGAGCTCTGGTCAACTGCTCTCGAGTAGCTGGGGGTGGCTGGCGCTTTCGAACCTGTCTATCCGACTTGTCCCAAAGATGCTCGATCAGGGACAAATCAGGGCTATATGGCGGCCAATCTACTGGTTGAATGTTGTTGTTGGCCAGAAAGACTTGGCAAATCCTTGCTACGTGGGGCCTAGCATTATCCTGCTGGAGGGTTAGATTATGCTGCTGTAAGAAAGGGATAACATGGGGTCGGAGGATCTCATCTCTATACTTAGCTGCTATTAAATTGCCATCAATAACAACCAATTGTGATTTTAACCCGTGTGAGATTCCTCCCCACACCATTACTGAACCGCCCCATAACCTATCCCTCTCTACAACGCAAGCGTCCATAAAACGTTCGCCACGACGTCGGTAGACACGTTGACGGCCGTCAGGTCGATAAAGACAGAATCGAGACTCGTCCGTGAAGAAAACTTGTCTCCACTGCCTCAGTGGAAACCGTCGTGGAGCATGTGCAGCGACCCAGGGCATACGACGCTGACGTCGAGCAGGGGTAAGGTGTGGACGTACGTAGGGGCGACGTGCTCTTACACCAACTTCTCGTAATTGATTCCTTACAGTTTTTGAACTTGTAGGACGCCCATGATTTCCACGAACATTAAGTGCACTCTCAACGGCAGTAAAGCGCCGATTACGCACATGAGAGACGACGATATAGCGATCCTGACGTCGTGATGTTACGCGCGGACGTCCTGACCTAGGTCGATCGGCTAATCGCCCAGTTTCCCGAAGACGTCTTACAAGACATTCTATGGTGGAAATATTAACACCAAAGTGCCAAGCAACCTGATTTTGCAGCTGTCCTTGCATCAGCATCTGAATGGCCTGACCCCTCTGAACTTCTGTGAGTCGTGCAATTCTTAAAACGAATCAAATTCTCAATTAATTTTAGGGAAGCAGTTGGTCTGTATAAAGACTAACGAAGAGTGACTTGACCAACGCTGCATGAGACCAGAACAACACGGTGCACGAAATTCTTGTTTTTTCCTTCCTCCATATACCAGAGCTGCCCACTGTACCGTGACTAAATTTTCGATACATGACAAGATGTAACATGACCTAATTACTCAATCCACAAAGTTTCACTTTATTTGGAGAACGCGTTTTCAAAATATCGGAATAAATATTACCCTGCGTTTCTTTATCCTTTCAGTATATATCTACCTATGTAGATGAGAAACATCTTTGAAATAACTTGGCCTTATGTTTGTAGATTCTGTTCACATATATCTTATATCAATGTGCTTTTGACATACGATGAAAAAGATGAAAAAGGAATACACATGTATAATTTTCACAAATTTCAATTGGAACATATTATAAAATGCACTCATTTCGTTTACACAGACGATGGAAGCTCCTCGAAGAGACAGAATATTGGTAGCTGCCATTGATTTCGGGACAACCTTTTCCGGCTATGCATTCTCCTTTCGTGAAGATTATGAAAATGACCCAAGAAAGATACAAGTCAATCCGACGTGGATTGGAGGGACAGCAGCTCTTGTATCCGAGAAAACGGCGAGCTGTATCCTACTGGACCAGGACAAGAAGTTTGTTGCCTTTGGTTATCAGGCGGAGGAAACGTACAGTCAACTTGTTGAAGAATCTGAAGATGATGACGTCGATGACAGAACGTTCGAGAGGTATTACTGCTTTAGAAGATTTAAGATGTCACTGTACAACTGCAATGGGGTAAGTTGGAATACTGTTCTGAATTATTTGACCATGTGTTTTAAGCATCAATGTATTTATATTGCTTTTACTGGGGCAGCTCTTACTGTTTGTGTGACATATGAACGTTATTGCATTTTTCTAAAACTTTTAACTCATTTGAAGCAGATGTGATTTGATTATAACGGAGATTCATGCAAATTAAACCATTTGTCTCTGTTGACGTATTTGTTTAATCGAAATCACGGTCAAACAGACGCTTTATCACAAACATTTGATCTTAGGCGCATATTTGTTGCACAATTTTCTTGTGAAACGGTCGAAAATACTTGATATGAGAGATTCGAGTAACGATATATATTGTCATATATATGCGGATATATGCGGTATAAATCTTTGAACTTAAACAAATGCATGATGGAAAAGAGAAGGTTAAAACCCATCATTGTTCTGCCCTTGCCAGTTTTTAGTAGTGTTCCACCTACTTTTTAGTAAGTGCAGTAGAGTTATCTCCCCCTGAATACCTCGCGTTCCGCCCGACGTTAAGACGAATGTTGATATGTTTGTCCGAGACAATTAAATGTGGCCCATACTGTGTATTTGTTCAGATCATGCGATCGTATTATTTTTCATATTTCCCAACCTTCTGTTGAATTAATGCATACGTAGTTTACGCATCTCCATGCAGTTATTTTCAATTTTGAGTTTGTTTATGTGACGCTCGTTAAGCAGTGTACCAGTTGACCTAGTTATTCACTGTAGCATAATGCAAAGTTTCATATGCTCGTATTTTAAAAATTGTGCTAATTGACTCATACCGCTTTCAATCTTTCTAAGTAACTAAACGTGTGGTTTTAAGTGCATCATATTTCTTTCATATTTCTGATATTTTTCAATGTTTACATTTTACTCAGAATCAAATAGTAATTTCCAATTTTCTAGAATCTTATTAACTTTAATTAAGTGTCAATCAAATTAAAACATATGTTAAATGAACTGTTTGTATCTCTTCCAGCTTTTACTATATATATATATAGATATACAAATATCAGCAGTATCCGGTACGACAATAAAGCCTGACAACTCTACAAATTTGTTGGTTATCATGTCGGGGTCAGCACAATCATGCAATGTGAATATCAAAATTGAATAGACCATCCTCTCTTCTCCTTATCAGTAAAACAAGAAAACACTGATATACTGACACAATCTAAAATAAAACATAAAATGAATAATACAAGGGAAAAGCATTAAAACGATCACATGCCTTTATCAGCGCTAAATTTTAAAGAGGTTTTCCGAACCAAAGAAGTGGTTCAGTTGGACATGGGAGATCGACTGTGAATATCGAGATAAGATAGATGGAAGTGCATACAACACGTACAACTAAATTAATGATTTTACTGTGATGTCACATTAAGGTCTTGTTCATGCACACAAATAGTCATTAGCACCTTTTCTTTCTTCCTGAAGGGCCTTACCAGGAAAACGATGATAGAGGATGAATCTGGGAAGAAGCTTCCGGCACTGCTGGTCATATCTTTATGTATCGGCTACCTGAAAGGTCAGCTACTAGCTCTCGTCAGAAAGAGGACTATTGGTATGGAAGAAAACGATATCCATTGGGTCATCACCATTCCTGCGATCTGGGACGATTCCGCGAAGCAGTTCATGCGCGAAGCTGCAGTCGATGTAAGCTTTGGTGTAAGAAAACTATTGGTGAAACTGTTATCTGACCTATAGGTTTCCTCATATAATCTGAAAGGTTAACCAATTTGCCCAAAATGACCCTGATTTTTGACGGACTGTAAAACATCCATCAATGAGTGTTTACCGCTTAACAATCGAGGCCGTTCAGTGTATCCTAAAAAATACCACAGGTTTTGATATTTCAAGGTGAACAAAACGTGTTAACAAGAATAAATTGCTAGATACAAATTGCATCTTTTCCTATTCATAGCAAGAACGTGATGTTGACGTTTTTTGAGCTATCCGAAAGTCATACTCAGAAACGTTATGATATAAAAAGTACCGAAGAATGTTTTAAAAAGAATTAAATAAGGAACTGTGTGAGGATATGTTTATGTGTATTTTCGAATTATTTTATTAGCGGAAAAATAGTCTGAAGATGTGGTAACACATTTTATGACGTACTGACCTATGTATTTTCTCCACAGGCGGGAATTAAATCAGATCAACTGTCTTTTGCGTTGGAACCAGAAGCGGCGTCACTTTATTGCCGATTAGTGAACGTAGTGGTGGAGGCAAATGATGAAAGTACAGATGCAGGTGTGAAGAAGAAAGAATTTAGGTCTTCAAAATCAGGCGAGAGGTTCATGGTACTGGATATTGGAGGTAAGCATTGTGCTGTTAAATATCGAAAACCACAGAAGTTCCAGTCCGTAAACTGATCACATTTCAAAGTCAACTTAGTCTGGCAGAGTACTAGACGATTGTTTTTTCCAAAACTGTGTGCGCTAAACCTACCTTGAATAGGCATGATTTATACGTTCTTTGATGTAACCCTTAATTGAAAAGGTCGAAATTTATTGAAGTTTGGATAAAGTGCATCTTCCTCTGTCGCCTCCTAGATCATAAAATGTTAGATTAATGTTACTGGGTAAAAGGATAAAATAGATGTATGGTGCAGTTTCATTAATATTTTTGCTCTGCTGTGTCTAATTTGAAAATTGTATCGAAATTTTAATGTTTAATATTTATTCAGGAGGGACGGCGGATATTTCCGTGCACGAACGACAGATGGATGAGAGGCTGAAAGAGATACACGAGCCTTCGGGAGGTCCCTGGGGAGGAACGGCTGTCGACAGGGAACTCTTCAAATTTTTGACAAGAATATTTGGAGAAAAATCAATAGAGAGTTTCAAGAGAAAATATATGGCTGATTACGTCGAATTATGTAGAAATTTTGAAATAAAAAAAAGAACAATTACAGAAGAAACCACAGGAAAGGTAATTCTTAAACTCCCCCCGTCATTTAAGGAGTCCGTCGATTCCAATTCAAACATCTCTTTCGATGTTGCCCTTAGTAACTCCGAATTTTCAGAAAAAGTGAAGTGGTATAGTGGAAAATTGAAAATAGATGCGGATGTTGTGAAAGGCTTTTTTGAAGTACCAATACAGAAAATTGTCAGCCATGTAGAAAAACTCTTGAAAAAGGTCGGAAAGATTGAAATGATTATGATGGTAGGGGGATTCTCAGATTGTCAACTTCTCGACAAAGCCATTCGTGACAACTTTCCTGATATTTCTATTTTGAATCCAAACGACTCCGTTCTTGCAGTTTTGAAGGGTGCCGTCATATTTGGTCACAAACCTAGGGCGATTGTGTCTAGAGTGGCCAGGTACACATACGGCTACGAAGCTTGGCCAAAGTTTGACCCAAAAATTCACTCACAGGTTCATAAGGTTAGACTGGGCGGAGTCGATTGTTGTACAGGGGTATTCCAGCCGTACATTCGAATCGGTACTGAATTAAGTTGCGATGACCACATCACTTCAACACATTGTCCGGTATCTGACGAGCAAGAGGACATGGCTATCAACATCTATATATCTGAGAAGAAGGAACCAAAATACATCACAGATCCGGATGTACGACACCTCGGAACTCTGCGACTCCCGCTTCCAGCTTTCAAGCCTGGATTGAGAAGAAAGGTACAAGGATGTCTCTATTTCGGAGCTACTGAAGTTACAATTGAGGCGAAAGATTTGGAAACTGGAAACATCCATAAGGTGGTATTTGACTGTTTGTGAAGTAACCAACTTGGATCTATATTTCGCTTTATAGACAACCAAGAAATGCTTGATCAAGAGGTAATCATTGTATCCCAATTGACAGCTCTTGTAAACAACAATTACTGCATTTAGAGACTCTGCAAGAAGTTACTTTATTTTATAAAAGAATAAAATACTTTGTTTCTTGAAGACCGCAACCAAAGTATACCTGTGAAAGACGACCCAGAGAGGAATTGTTGAGGGTAAATGAGAAATGGTTTGTTGTGCTCATTGAATGCTTTCCTCTTTTGTCCATCACTACCCTCTCTTTCTTGCTACATATACATTTTTGTTTTAAGATAAGTAACTTCAAAAGAAGTTGATTCAGCTAGGTTTGGCATTAAATTGCATTATACCATCAAAAAAACTGACATTTCATGATGGAATTGATTTTGACATTTTAGATTTGATCGCATAAACTTGTTGACAAAGCCATCCGTGACAACTTCCCTGGTATTTCTATTTTGAATCCAAAAGATGGCGATCTGGCAGTGTTGAAGGACACCGTATTATTTGGTCACGAATCCAGGGTGATTGTGTCTTGAGTGACTAGGTACACGGTTATGAAGCTTGGTCAAAGTTTGACCCAAAAATTCACCCAAAAGATAGGAAGGTGAGACTGGGTGGAATCGAATGTTACAAAGGGGTGTTCCAGCCATACAGTCGAATCAGTACTTAAGTAAATTACGATGATCATATCACTTCTACACATCTGACGAGTAACAGGACATGACCAACGACATTTACATCACTCAGAACGAGGCTGCGAAATAAATTACAGACCCGGATATGCGACACCTCGGAACCATTAAGCTTCCGTTTCCAATTTGTAAACCGGAATTGAGTAGAAAAGTGCAACCAAGTCTTGATTGTGGACTAACTGAAGTGGTCATCCAGGCAAAAGACGTTGGAACTGGAAACATGCATAAAGGGACATTTGACTGTTTGAAGACTAAATGCAATTCCAAATAATGTATTCGTATTTAGTCTGAATGCCGATCAGATTTTACATTAAATTAAGAGCCTTACGTCACACCAGTATATACATCTGATTTGGCTTGTAAATAGAGTGACTCCATTTGATAGTTACACACTTGTTAATGCTTAAGGTGTTTATGCAGCACAATATCATTTGAGAGAATGTCGATTTGTTTAAAAGCAATTTGAAAATATAGCATTTAGATATCGATGCATGCTAATCATAACTATAAAATGCATTAACAGATTGTTAAATACTATTTTGTTTCATTTAGAAAGTAATTTTTCTATACTAAAATTCTAGACTTCTAGAATCTCGAAACGCTTTGATTCTTCTTTTATTTCCTAACCTTAATTATTCAAATAAAAAAGCGTCATTTATCACTGAGTTTTGCCTTTTATTTGTTAAGTTTCTTTGTGGCTTTCAGTAAAGATCTTGAGAAAAACATGCTTGATGCAAACTGTGTACAGCCAAATACGATGCTGCTCATGAAAAAGCAGCTGGACATAAAATTGTACCCCTAATCAGTTTTAAAATGGCAATATTACAAGGATGGAAATGTCTGGAGACATGTCATATATTCAAACAATGTCAGTTTTATTATTTGTTTGCTTGTGTGGGTATTCTTATTCCTTTTTGTTTTTAAACAAATATTTACAGGAAAATTATTGAATATTTTTGTCAACAATAGCACCCCGAACGCTTTTCTTGTGATGATCCTACAATTTGATGGGTAAAAATAAATTAACATTGACCTCATAGCAGTAACATGTCAAACAAATGATGTGTCGTGTACGAGCAACACGTTTGTCGCGACGAGTTGGACGTAAAGACAATTTTATATTTTCATTTCATAGGCTTGCGTTTGTGCAAAATGAAAAACAGAACGTCCAGATGTATCTTAAATTATTTAAAAAGGGTACATACAACTTTAAATTAAAACGAAATGATTCAACGGACAACAACAGGAAAGGCAATGACGAGATTCGGATAAGGCTATGCAGACCATGACAATAGTCTTCAGACTATTGATTGTGGTCCATTCGAAAAATGGATTTGTTATTATTATATTTTTAGTACAAATTGATTTCTTGAAGTTAGCCAAACACGAAGAGTTTATTATCAAAGCAATAATCAGAAGGTAATAGAATACAAAAGAAATTTATGTGTATAATTTGATAGCTCGTAGTTTAAAAGGTTTCGGAGATCTGGTCATTCCCATGATTCCTTGTAAAGATGGTAGACATTTTGGATCATCCGGGATCAACCGGAAATTCTGAATCAGAGAAGTCAGGAATAAAAAGAGCTCCATTTTTGCCAAAGCCTCACCTGGACACAGTCTTCGCCCTGAAATTTAAACCGAAGTAAAAACTGTATGTTTAACGTACTTGTATAATTCTAATTCTTTAAAAGTACTCCATTGAAAAGTATGATAAATCATGTTTGGCCTATATAGAAGATACAATGTAATTAGTTAAGTGGAATATGTGTGTATACTTTAATGCTATCATTCAAATTCTGACGTAGGATCTGGGAAATTCTGTTAAATTTTAAGTTCGCAAAATAAAACACGCTAGCGTCGTGTGGGAAAATGTGATACAATAATCACTTAAAGTATTCAGGATTTTCACTTACCAACAGAAAAGGCCGTGACCTTGTCACATCCTGTGACTTTTCCGTCGTCTCCAATATACCGTGATGGGCAGAAAGTATCCGGGTGCTGAAAAAGCTTCGGGTCATTCACTACAGAGTCAAGATTAGGGACTAGGATAGAGCCACCTGGAATGAAGAAGCCCCTGAACATCGTGTCACGGGCAGATCCATGCGCCACGGAAAGTGGGACTATGTTGGCATGGCGCAAGACTTCAACAATGAAAGCTTCGAAAAAAGGCATGTTTTCTTTATCGGAGATAGATGGCACCCGAGATCTTCCGATAACTTGATCGATTTCCTGTCGAAGTCTGTCCTGTATGTCTCTGTAATGTATAAGGTACAGCACAGCCCATCTGATGGTTGTTGCTGTCGTTTCCGTTCCGGCAGAAAACAAGTTTCCAATTAATGTTGTGAGGTTATCGTCTAAAACAATAAAAAAGAATTGAAAAAAGTAAATAGAAAAATATTTATCTTAATAAGATATTGTTTTTCTTCATTTATTTATCACTGTGATCCATTTTAAAATTAACCAAAAGAATTGTAACAGTTTCATTTTGCATTCTAAAATTGTACAAACATTCTATCAGTTAAAGCATTTGCAGACTAAACATTATATATATACATATATATATATATATATATATATATATATATATATATATATATATATAATTTTCTATTATAAAATCAAAATATAAACTAGTCACCTACCTGTAAAAATAGCTCCGGTCTCATCCGTGTGTTTTCTCTGCTCTTTCAGAAAAGCATCTGTGAAGTCGTTGATGTTTGTTTCATCGAAAATTTTCCGATGAGACTCTACCTGGTCAACGAAGAACTTTTTGATTTCGACCGTATTCTTTATCAGGCGTTTTGCCCCAAATAGGTCTCCTGGCAAATATCTTAAAAATGGAACTATACCAAGGATACCCGTGTGTCCAATAAGTTTAAAGTTCTGGTCTAATAAATCAAGAAGGGTTTCGAATGTCTTGTCGCCATGGTCAAACCTGTGACCAAATATCAGACTGCAAATCACATTCGATACGCTTGTGTAACTGGTATTCTTTATGTCAAATGGTTCACCGTTTGTATTGTGGATTGCAGCTAAAAAGGCATCAACCTCTTCCATAAGTTTCGTTTCCATCGACTTTTTTCCAAATCCGAACTCTCTTAGAGCAGTGATGGTGAACGATCTCGTCTCTTTCCATGTCGTTCCCGAGCTTCCGGATATGCCTGCGATCACAAAAAATACATGTCGACTAATTTCAGTGAATACATCTCTCTATAAAAAAAGTGGTTTGTTTTTAATTTTGGAAGCAGCATATGAAATCTTCATATCTTCAACTGTTCTTTTTGTTGAATGGTGCCAGAACTAAACATACAATATATAAGAAAAGATGAAATCAGAGAGTTAATTCGTCAGAAGTATAGATGATCAGTAAATAAAAACACTTAATAATAAAATATTTGCTCTATCAGTTCAAACTCACATTTCAACCTCAATGTTAAATATTTAATTAAAGTAGCACCATTGATATGGCTCTCAATTACCTCTGCCTCGGGACATTAGATCCATAAGGTACGTTTTTGGTCTATCCGAGAAAACATCGCCATTTCTAATAAAAGCTTCTTTCAAGGTATCGTATCCATTGAAAATGACAAACAAATTATTGCCAAAACGAAGACTGAATACGTCACCAAAAAGCTTTCTAAGTCTCCTAAACGTTTGTAGCTGATCTTTGGATCTGAGGTAACCAATGTTTCCCAGGAAGGGCAGTGGCTGTGGTCCCGGTGGCACATTTGACCAGCGTCGCCATCCAATGTAATATCGACCCAGAACGAAGACAGTTGAAACCAACACTATTTGATACAAATAGTCCGACACCGTGTGTTGTATCCACATATTGACAATCTCTGTTCACAGTTTTAAAATTATGGACACCGATGAACACATCAGATGACAATATTATTGTGACAATATTACTGAGGCGTAACTGGTCACGTAGTTAATAGAACACGCATTTATATATATACATGTATATAGACTATTGCAGACACGTCGTTGACGACCGGAAGTTTACGGCTGGATACCGGAAGAAATTTTCCTGTTTGTTTTATCACTACAAGAACACACAATGCAGATATATTTACCACAAAACACTTCTCGGGACACGAGGAAGTTTATACGTGTTTGTGACACTGACGAATACTTGCTCTATTTACATAAATGAAAGACGCACGTGACATTGGTCATGTGGACGCATGTTGCGGTTGAGGACATAACAAGAAAGCTGTCCTGTCTTTCAGGTAGCACGTAGTGATTTTTACAATTAGGTCGGCTTACATCAATTTTATCTTACATATACATCAGCAAACTTACTTGCATCACTAAGCCATGTCTTTTTCGATAAGTGAAATCCAACTTAAACATTTTTTTCATTTATCGATTTTTTACATAAAATGAATAGTTTAGAAATAGTGTCTTTCTAAAACTGTTCTTTATAGTCTTAGTTCATACGGAAATTAGGCATGAACTTATATTTTGATATCTTTTATCCGTTGTCCCATTTTTGTCAATAGATTTTCCTTATTTACTTGTGTAGAATTGTCAGATTCCATCAGTCACCCAGAAACTTTTCTGAGTAAGTATTAAAGGGACATTACGTAGTTGAAGTGAAAGGTATTGATTTTACACCAATATGGCAGGTAAAGTTGAAAGGTAACACAATGTTCTTAGATTACAAACGTTTGAAACTTCGATCAGAGGCTTAAACGCGAGCACGCGCAGTCGAGTTGTTAAAGTGGGGAGTGGGGAGGGGAGGGGGGTTGATATAAAGGGGCGAAAAAGGAAAGTTTTTGAATGAAAACACAAGCCATTTGATATCTATACAAAATGCTTGGTGTTCAGTACGTATCATGATATCTAAATCTTAAGTTATTTCCACGTACATTGGCAATTTTAGAAAAAGTGATTATCTGCTCTTTTCATGTAAAATGCAATCCAATAAATAATAGACAGCAATTTCAACTGGATTGGAACAACTACATACTGCAATTTGGACTAAATTAATTTTTAAAAGATCTGAATTTAGAGCAGTACACCCGCGTCTGAGTTTAGTATGAAAAATGTTTACTTTCCTATTGTCTATTGAATAATAATGAGGAACTCTTTCTACATTTCTTGTAATTCTACCTTTTAGATAAATTCAGAGACTCTGAATTCCTAACAAAAATATCTAGCGAATTCCTTCTTTTGATCTTGTCCGGAATAAAAAACTTTTCATAGGGCACTAAACGATAGCGAGTTATACCATCATCGTGATTATTTCTTAGGTTATATAGACTTACGTCATAGAAAAGACTTACATCATAAAAAAGACTTACGTCATAAAAAGACTAACAAGTAGAGGATTTATTAGTAATCATCTAACTGTGCGAACTTTATCGTCATTAAAAATATATCCCAAACACAAAATATGACACATTTTAATGAGTTATTCGTTGAGAGACATTATTTCGCAGTTGCCGCTGTTGAAATGTATGACGTTCATGAAGCCACATCTAACCCAGTGATTATTGGAGGCATAAGGGGCCGTGTCGGTGCCACACCCAATCATGTGTATATCGTGTTCCCAGTTGTCATTGATTAAGGCTTTGACCTCGAACCAGCCATCCTCTGTCTTTGAACAGTCCATGTCCATATCTACTAACCAGTAGTGCTCACCATACCTACAGCAGTCAACGAGGTATTAAACGAAGTGAAATGATAGTGTATCTCAATTGTAAAGAAATCGTTGCATGCTTTTCGGATATGATAAACGTAATAGTGCATATGACCACGAAGACCGTCAGCTGTCATTAACGTGTCCAGTGTCTACCAACTGACCATCCTCGATACTCCAGGGGTTACGATCACTTTCGTTCACTGCATCCCTTGAACATTTCATGGTAAAATTGAGACACCTGTGGACAAGGCGAAAATACTAATTTGATCCTTCAAGATACATTAAACGAATCTTGAGGTCGCATAACCATATACTGTAATGGCTTTGAAATTGGGTGTCGCTCCTTTGTAATCTTTAAAAGAGACGTCGACCAGTCTGTGATGGGTCAGTCTGTTTCTACTGGAACCAATCAAACTACTTCGCTTGTGCCTTCATTTTGCCATGACAGGTACCAGGCGTACAGAGAGCGAAGGGTGATAGTAACGTCTAGACTATTGAGGGTGCCAACTGACAGGAATATACATCGCGGAAAGCAAAGAAATGGTTTTATTGAAATATCCTCAAATCAGACCTTAAGTGAAACGAAACCAGGAAATAATCAAAGGATCAATCCAATACTTGGTGAGGACATAATTACAATGACGACAGATTTAAACGTTGATATAGAAAATGACTAATGAATACATGATACCAACGGCTTCCGCAATGAAATAATTTAATAGACATATCGTGCGATAATTACTGTTAAGTATTTGAATGGACACTGCTCTTATGTTATGAAACACGTCCTAGATTCTAACCGGCATCGTCCGCATTGTAGACCAACACTCTCTCAACGAAAAATTTCCTGATTACTAATCGGGATGGTCCAAAGGGATTTCTAGATTCTAACCCGGAGCAACCTAACTGTAGACAAAAACTCTCATCGCGTAATAAGTCCCAGATTTTTAACTGAGAATATACATAACAAGTCCTAGATCCTGTCCGGGATCTAACCAAAAGGGAACATCCGCTATGTTCATAGTCCTACATTGTAATAGGTGATAGCCGACCTGTAGAGGAACACTAGCAATATTGGGACAGCCCCGGATTTGAACAGCGAACGATGCAATTTTAAACAGTCACTTCAACTGTTAAAGCCCGAACTATATACATTGTACCACTAAACAGGAAACAGGCCTGACTGTAAACCTTGCCTCTACCCAGATAATGTGTCAATGTCAAATTTTCGGAGGAATAAAGAGGAGGTAATATATTAAGAAAGTTGTAACCAAACTCATCATTTTCCGTCCAGATATACTTCCTTGGTTAGATGTGTTTGACACAACTTTGATTTTATTCCTAGCGAACATGGACTGATGACAGTTCGATTCTGTACAGCATGGCTATAAGTTACCTTCTAAAGACAGAATGAACAAATGCAGTTAGTACACTGGAAAACAGATGTAATGTTACAAGATTATGATACATGTCTCTGTAGTGAGAGGGTATACAATTCATAAATTATTGGTTCAATATATATACATACGTATTCAAGGCTGTGTATCCATGACCACCAGGTTGGTTGGTTGTCCACACGGCAGGCGTGCCCTTAGCTTGAGTCCCGTGAAATGTGCCCTGACCTGGCTCGGGCCCATACCAGTCCAAAAAGTGATCACCCTGTCGCCAAGCATTATATCCCGCGTAATGATCACCTGTACCAATCTCCCGACTTTTGATTGGAATGGCGCATGCGCTGGATGAAGCCTGATTGGTACAACCTACATGAAGTTAAATGTGTTGTTTAACACCAATGGTTTATGTACTGGAACAAAGATATTTTATTTCCAAACAGGTATGCATGTTACCGTCAACCCAATCACGCGTTATTGAAACCGCTTATTAATTTCCCACCTCTGTCGAATAAATTTTATGGTTAAAATTGAATATTATAATATATACCATTTCGGTGGCCATGGTCAATTCCTCCTCTAAGGAACAAATTCTGTCCATTGACGGTTTGAGCCTGAATCATGATTACTGTTCTCGCCCATCCTTCCGGAGAAGGTCCGGAAGTTACCGATGCGGAAGTACCAACAGGACCAGAAGTGACAACGGGACCCGATGTGATACCGGATGTGCCGCCTGATGATCCATGCGTGTTTGTAGGTCCAGTTGGTCCATCTTTAAATGCATTGTCAAACCAATATTCCAATATCATTATATATACAACGTATTTGAGGATGTGAATATACAAAAGATGTACTTGCAGTACCTTGAGCCAATCGAGCTTAAACAATTACTGTCATGTCGGAAGTGTCAAACATAACTTTCCGATAGTTCTTTGTTTGGATTGTTTTTCATTTCTGAAGGTCAAAGGTCAAAGGTCAAAATTGTTCGTTACTGGAACGTCACTGATTCCATGAAATAAGATGAACTGCCTAATCTCTTGCACTAGACAAGCACACGAAGCTTCCCGACTGAAAGTGCCTAAACGTCAGGTCTAATCGTTTGCTTTCATAGTTCATAAGTTATAGCCACGGTTGCAGTAAATAATTTTTTTATTATTTCGTTTGGACGGAGTTAAAAAGTCGTGTAGTGTGTTCTTAATCAAATGGACTATTTCGAATTGTACTCAAGTTCAGAGATCCATTTCCTTTTAAAGCAAAGGATCAAAGCATATATATTGAATAAATCGTGCTACATTGGCTTAGAATATTTACTCATTCGCAGCTGAAATGAGGTGCTTTTCATTAATAAATAACATTGAATATCTATTTCAGAGACATTAACAACTTACCAACGATGAATGCCAGTATTGGATTTTCATTGTCACTAATGACGATATGGGCGTTTCCGCTTCCGTCGACCGTGACCTTGGTCTTACAGTCGGTGATGAGATCACAATACTGTCCGGCCGGAAGTCCTGTTTGTAGCGTCTCGTCCATATGACCTTGTTTGGCCATGGCGAAGAATCCCTTATTTCCTCTGCTGAAGGACACCTGGTCGTTTTCGTTGCGCCAGTGATTAAGGTCGGTACCTGCAACAGCATTACGAAACCCAACCATATTTGCAATTGCAGGCCATCTATGCTCACATACCCATCCATTTCCACAAGAACCATCACCTTCGATTGAGACATCTTTAATGGAGAAATCACCATTATGAGGTGGTCCCTGGTTTGTGCTCTGGAAAAAGTAACTACTCATGACGCGTGGAAATCCGTAGTTATAAGCCAACGTAAAAGCCTGAGCCAGTTTGTAGCTCCGTGGTTGTTTGTGTGTGATTAGGTTTCCTCCGCCGCCATGACCTCTTTGGTTGTCATGGTTATCTACAAATATGAAAGCATGAGCAGAGTCGGTCATTCCCCATCCGTAATCGACGACATTGTTAAGTTGACCAAAATTATTGATACCCCAAGCAATCTTCTGGCAATATCTCATTTCGGTGACGTAACCGTACGGCTCATATTCCGTAACTTTGATCGCGCCATCATTCTGGTCTATGACCTCGTGGTAGAAGAATGGTTTCCCTCCTTCCGGTAGGTCGTTGGTTCTCTCCTGGATCGCTTTTATGTCCACGGGCCACATGTGCTTGGCTGCATCCACTCTAAAACCCGCGACGCCCATCGTGATGAGTTTATTAAAGTAACCTGATATCTTATCACGGACGTATTCTAAATTCTGGTTTAGATCAGTCAAACCTACCAGAAAGCAGTTCCGGACGTTGTTCGGATCACCGTAGTTGTTGACATTTCCATCACCGGAAGGACATTTACTTCTGGGATTGAAATGTTCTCGCCGGTAGGGTACGCCGGGGAAGTCAAAATTATCCGAGTCAAAATGAGAACCACCACTTCCGGTTCCGATCCTACCGAGTCCCGCCATGTGGTTAATGACGACATCCACGTAGATCCTTACAAATAACAAAAATAAAACTAGGGATATGGATACCATCTTGGAGCACAGTTTTTGAACTTAAAAAAAAAAAATGACTGAGAGTATGATCTAAATGCGAGCTGGTATCTGCACAGTAAATGTAAGACATCACGTGTCTACCAACCTGACTCCAACGTTCCTACACCGGGTGACCATGTCTTTAAACTGAGCCTCGTTTCCACTGCGAGTATTAATCTTGTAACTGACCGGTTGGTAGCGCTCCCACCAGGGGCGTTGGTCAATCACGGCATATTCATTGGCCGGGGATACCTTGATAATAAAAGAATGCCGAATGATGAATCCTGAGGTTGACATTGTCATTACACCGTCAGACCAGTTAAAAGATTTATAAAACGACATAGAAAAATAATATGAGTGCAATACCAGGTATTTAAACTAAACTTTAAAGCATCGCCATCATTAAGAATGTTTAAGAAATCTAATTTATGTGATATGTATTGTGGTGACATTCTTGCAACACCAACAGGAATCCAATTAAGTCACTGTAAAATCCAACTGGAAATTCGGACTCTTCGTTTTTAACAACAGATATAAACGTTGGAAGATCGCATTTATGCTCTCCCTTCACCTTCATTTGAAGTAGCAACGTGCTAGATACTGACTCCATGTTTCGAAGTGCATAACGTGAAACTGGTCAAATTGTACTATGAATCAATAGAAGACTCTTTCAATATGCATCACAGAAATAACTTTTACTTTGTAAGAGAATGTGGTAAGTGCCCCGACACTCAAATCGAAGGTCGATTGATCTAGAGTGAAATGTTTCGAGTTGTCGATATTCCAGAAGACGCTGACACTTCCAGAACACCTGGTTTAATTTACTTTTACATCGTCATCGGCGAAACTTTTCCCTTGATAGTATTTTGCTCTCGTTTACAATTTTGCAGACGTGTCAATATGGTGTTACATTTTTTTCTCAAACATAAAATATGTTCGAAAATTATCAAGATCGGCTTCATTTCTGCTTCAACATGCTTGCTATTTCGTTCATTGCACAAACAACGGTGTGGTCACCATGACGTCACACATTAATTTCGTTTTGAAGGAGTTATTTTACTGACATATATAGTAATTAATCAAAACTAGAAAGGGGGATGTTTCATAAAATTCTGTAAATTAGTCCTCATATATACCGCCTGGATATTTCGAGTACTCATTAAACACAGAACCCAAAGTTTATGAATAATTTACGTATGGTATTTAGATAATGAAGGACCGAAACATGTTATTTCTCAGTATGCGGTGGCCAATATCCTAATTAGTATTTCTACGTTATGGCGATTTTATCTTTAGACATGGACCAATCTTCAGCAGAAGTGTGTCATCATAGTTTGTCAGTTCTCATCTGTATACCGTATTGGATACAATGAAAGCAATTCTATGTCAACAGTCATTATCACTCATCTTATACGTCTGTCCTGTCGTCCTTACACACACTTAAATACACCACTGGTTATTTCCGCTAGTAACCACTCATATATGTCCGCCCTTTCGTACTTACACAAACATGTACAATATTAGTGTCACTCGTGCACGCGCCACACCATCAGTGTCACTCAAGCACTCTTCGCTGTTGGGAACAGTTCACGCTTGTCCAACCTGTCTGTCTTGTACGTATACAAATATTTACACCAAAGTAATCATTCTTTCACATAGACCATTCTATGTCCAATATGTCCGTCCTGTCGTACGTATACAAACCTGTACACCACAGTAACCCTTCTTTGACAAGAAGCGTTCGCACTCGTCTGCAATGTCCGTCCATTTCCACTCAAACAAGTGAACAATGGCCTGCTTCCCCGAACAATGAGGATCCGTGTATTCAGCTTTCACTGTAATAGTAATGAAAATTCATTTATATAGTATTTACGACTTTCAAAAGCAAATTGCAAAATCCCTTGTCTTGATCGTCTAGCTAATACTTTGATAGTAAGCACATTATAACCGAGTTATGAAATCAGCCTGTCCACACCACACTGTCCGAGATTGGATTATTTTCTGACAGGAACAACTATAACCCTTAGAACTCTTTTTCTCTGGATAGGATACTTACGGACATATAAAAAGCTTTACCGATCGAAACGTTGGTGCTTGTAAATACGGCATTGTATAGCTTCTCTGTACCAACAACAGGTTAAAAGGAATTTCTTAAATACTGAAAATCTCTCTCCACTCTCTCTCTCTCTCTCTCCCCCCCCCTCTCTCTCTCTCTCTCTCTCTCTCTCTCTCTCTCTCTCTCTCAGCGTATATCAACAGTTTTTTATAATAGCGATCTGTATGAAATATCTTCAACTTTTCTCCATTCACAGAAACTGAGAAATCCTGGACTAGCTCATCTCAACATAACATACCACTTAACGCGCTGATGGCGAAGACGAGGACAGCCCGGAAAAACATCATCGCGTTTACAAGGACAATGACAGGAACGTACAGGTAAGATAAGACGGGAAAGTCACTAATCTACTGATAACCTTTTATCAACAGACCCACGTGGTCTGTTTCATAGTCGTTCTAAACAAGTTCAATTCTGGTGAGTGTTTTTGTAAAGCAAAGTTTTACTTAAAAAAACTTATGTGATAATTATAAAATAAATATATTGAAGATATAGTTACATGTTTGAATGCCATAAGTTTGATTTACATACAAATAGTTTTTTATCTGCTCTTTTGTGTTGTATTTCTGTATAGATAAGTTATAGGGGATTTTTTGTATATCTAAAAATAAGTCTCGGTTCCATCACACGAACCTTTTTTATTCAGATTTTTTTTATTTTGTAGAGAATATGTTGCAGTATCTATTTTTAAAATCATGCTTGTTTATGATGTTATGAACCTACCTGATACGAATATAATTGACACTGTGATTTTTGCGAATAAAAAACAAAATAGGACTTTTAGTACCATTCATTGCTATTTAATTCACAGTAAAATTTATTTTCCTGAATATTAATACGGTATAAGTGATCAACTTAGTCAAAAATTACTTCCACCGACTTATCATATTTCACAATCAATAGAGCGAACAGAATGATTGATAACTTAAATGTTCAAATTGACAGTCATTAGAAACATTGCCGACGATCTGTTGTGATAGAACTGCCCTCCTTGTTTTATAAAATGCACATTGCGTATAAAGTACACCAGCCAAGCCCACTCACTGGAAACCTTTGTGACACCGTTGCCCTAGAACAATCCTTATCGGCCTAAACACACACATATATATATTATGTTTTGGTGCACGTGTTCCAAATGGAAGGTCATATCATATATTTCATGCTAAACTATAGCGAGTAGGAGATATATATGCGAGAAAGTAATTTCTGTCTTGGTGAGGTAAAATGTATTTATTAACATATTCTTTTCGTTGTTTCTAAAGTGACTGTTAGCTTCTGTTTGCATTGCGTCTAGCAGACAAAAATATAATTCGGTAGAAATATTGACCTTGAATCAGAGACAATTTTCAGATTTTTTTTTTTCAAAATTCTGACACCCATCGTTAACTTTGAACAACAAATTTGTTTTTAAGTCTGCCCGAAGCCGCAGAGAATACCTTTAAATATCTGGGTGCATTGATACCTAGTGCCGATACACCTGTATTGACCGTTGATTGGTTGGCGACAATTGTTTGTTATATTCCAACAAGGAAGTTTATTACATTGGATTAAGACGAGGAAACACAACATGGTCAACCACTATTTACTTGTATTTACAGTTCTAATCACTCACTTCTCAGGTAAATATTGTTTTTAAAAGAAATATTTTATATTTACAATTTATAATCATCAGTAGCAGATATGCACATACCCATAACATCAGATCTAAATACAATGGTAGTGTGTAGTATGACACAATCGATTGTGTTGTTTAATGCCAGTATATTAAAAAAAGGGACACGTTTTAGCCTAAATATGCCTGAATTCGATCTTTATATATGACAGTTGACGGAGAATGTAAAAATTGGATCAGAAAGATATATACTACTTTGTTATATTAATGTGTACGTGAAAATTTCCTTCGGAAGGTCTCTGAATTTATTTGTGCTTAAAATAATCCCCGTAATGTACAATAATGGAACTCAGTAACCCTTTTGGTAAATTTAATTCACTTCTTTTCCAGGAAAGTACATAAAAGATCAGCCTGGATATTCTAATAGCCTATTAACCGTTATATACATATGTATATCGATCAGATATACAGTAATTCAAAATACATGTCTGTAATTTGGTGCATCGGAGTGTAGGGTTAGGTCGTCTCTCACAACTATTGTCACATACCAATTATTTATCTCTGTGTGGTGATCTCTGCGTTGAGGTAGCAATATCCCTGTTTTATTGTAGTCGTGTTTTTTTTTTACATTATCATGTGACAAAAGGTCCATATTATCTAATTACCTGAATATCGTGTAATTGTTCCTCCGTAATGTTCGAGTTTTCTCCCTTAGTATACATATTCATATTGGATACACACACTTATCAATAGTTCAAATGGAATTAAACATTTAACCAACCAATCAATCAATCAATCAATCAATCAATCAATCAATCAATCAATCAATCAATCAATCAATCAATCAATCAATCAATCAATCAATCAGTCAGTCAGTCAGTCAATCAGTCAGTCAGTCAATCAGTCAGTCAGTCAATCAATCAGTCAGTCAGTCAGTAATATTTCTAATTGTTGGTGCGTTTGGTATTGAGATTTTATAAACGACATTGTTAATTAGCCGAAATACTTGTTTAGTATTTGCAGTGAAGGTCAACTTCATCATATACCTTAATATCTATACGCGAAATGTTGTCATTAGTTTATGAGATTAAAAAGATAACCTTTGGTCTGGCTGTAGTTTTTCTACTGTGAAAGTGAACTGGACTGAAAACCATATATGACGGTAAGATGTATATATTTATCCCGCAACTGGCGCCTACATTGTAGGGATGCACCTGAGGAAAATAGTTTTGCCGTATTCGGCGGTGACGGAAAACAGCTGTAATTTAGCAAGTGCGGTAATTCGACAGAATTACTCTCTAAATTTACTCACATATATCGTTTAGAAATATGAGTAGTTGTTGAAATAAGCGATTTTACATGATGTAATGAACATGTTGATTTATGAAAATTCCTAAAATCGTTGTTATATCCTATGAAGTTTGGAACTATGTTTCTGCGCGGAGCAATTATTTTGGCGTCCGCCATCACGCAAAATTCAGCGTAACGTCAATGTCAGGTAAACACAGATTGAAAAACAACACTGTTTAAGTTTCAATAGTCTGATTTTCAATCAATGTTGCAGGATAAATAGAATACATGGCCCGTGTCTTGAAATATAAACTGCTTTTTTTTTTTTTTTTTTAACCAAAATACAGCTGATATTTTCTCTCTACATAGATGAAAATGGACGGATGTGTTGTTCTGGGGCGATTACGTATAGTAAGAAATATGACACTGTTAGGTGATTAATAGAGCATCTCCTTGTTGGTTCTGTTTGAAATAATGCTCTCCTCTAAACCATGGCTAGAAAGAACATACTATTGCCGATCAAATAAATCTAAATGTTGACAAAACAAAATACATGAAAGATCTTGTTTACCCGGTGACATAATGTTACATCGCCTTCACATAAACAACAATAAAGAAAATGACGTTAAATCTTTTATTTTAATTATATAATATACTGTATTATAGATATTTCAATATTTGCGGGTAGTTTCATGAATATAATTCATAAATGTTGACAATTATACAAGACTCTGCGTGTGTTACGATTTCCCGATTCTTTTCACAGAGGTATTCACTGGGGAATACTGTACCATCTGTAGTGGTCAAGTTTACTGTGACTCGGGATGTTGCAGCACATACGGCACTGCCCACTGTTGTCCGAATACGTAAGTTGTACAGAGATCGATTCATTGACATCAAAATAGAATGTTTATTTCAAAGATTAAAAAAAATGTTAGTACATTGTTCCAAAAGTGTAGGAAGTCGTTCCTTTGTAAGCATTGATGGGTTTTATAAAACAAGCGTCACTCATTTGTAAGTGTTTTACGGATTTAAAAAGGCCACACATTCTTGTGTTATAATTGTTTTTTATACAATACTTGTTTGATGACCTAAAAATATTAATTTCTGACTGAAATATCTACCACAAATACTTTTCAGTAACCATAAATCACAAGTTCATCATACTCTATAATTATGAGTTCTTTAGAATATAAGTTCTTATAAGACAACCAGTAGAAGATTAGAGTGTGACGTGTGACTGCAAATCGTCAATTCGGCCTACGCTTTGTTCAACACTTGGTCATAGATGCGCGAGAGTCAGTGGTCCCCATCGTCTCTGTTTAGTGCTAGTCCACTGAGGGGTTCGATTCCTGAAACGGACTTGAAAAGGTAAGGGGTCACCTGCCTACAATAAGACCCCTCGCGCGCTTACATCGGGGCCAACAAGAGTGATTAGTTTAAGTTGAAATAACTTGTTTAGCAATTGTTGCAATATTTTGGAATTTTCCCATTCATAGATATGGTTTTGCTGTGTGAAATGATCTGTAAGTGTAGATTCATTGATCTAGGACTGTGGATGTTTTCGCAGTGATCTAGTGATTTTTTTGCATTCTTGGGATTCCGCGTCCTTCTGATGTTCATTGACCTAGACCCGAATCTCCTGTCTGTTTCTCCGCTCCGCTATATGATGCATCGCAGTTCTTGCATCCGATTTTGTATGCGCGTTCTGCGACTTTCGCTTTGGGTGTTTTATACTTAGGATGTTAGGACATTTCGGAGAGCCTTGTGAAGTTAAGGTATTGGTGCGTATGCGTCTTTTCACTGTAGAACAATACTTTAATAGCAACTTCATCTTTCTTTACTGGGAGGGTGTCAAGGAATGGAATAGCGCCATTGATTTCTTCCACACATGGGAATTCGATGCTGTTGGTGGTACCTAAATCTTTCTTTGACACATTCTAGGTGTGTTCCCTGCAGTGGGATACAGGTTACAGTACATTCTAGGTGTGTTCTCTGCAGTGGGATACAGGTTGCAGCTCATTCTAGGTGTGTTCCCTGTAGTGGGATACAGATTGTAGTACATTCCAGGTGTGTTCTCTGTAGTGGGATACAGGTTGTAGTACATTCTAGGTGTGTTCTCTGTAGTGGGATACAGGTTGCAGTTCATTCTAGGTGTGTTCTCTGCAGTGGAATACAGGTTGCAGTACATTCTAAGTGCGTTCTCTGCAGTGAGATACAGGTTGTAGTACATTCTAGGTGTGTTCCCTGCAGTGGGAAACAGGTTGTAGTACATACAGGTTGCAGCTCATTCCAGGTGTGTTCTCTGTAGTGGGATACAGGTTGTAGTACATTCTAGGTGTGTTCTCTGTTGTGGGATACAGGTTGTAGTACATTCTAGGTGTGTTCTCTGTTGTGAGATAAAGGTTGTTGTACATTCTAGGTGTGTTCTCTGCAGTGGGATACATTCTAGGTGTGTTCTCTGTAGTACATTCTAGGTGTGTTCTCTGTTGTGTAATACAGGTTGCAGCTCATTCTAGGTGTGTTCTCTGCAGTGGGAAACAGGTTGTAGTACATTCTAGGTGTGTTCTCTGTAGTGTAATACAGGTTGCAGCTCATTCTAGGTGTGTTCTCTGTTGTGTAATACAGGTTGCAGCTCATTCTAGGTGTGTTCTCTGTAGTGGGATACAGGTTGTAGTACATTCTAGGTGTGTTCTCTGTAGTGGGATACAGGTTGTAGTACATTCTAGGTGTGTTCTCTGTAGTGGGATACAGGTTGCAGCTCATTCTAGGTGTGTTCTCTGTAGTGGGATACAGGTTGTAGTACATTCTAGGTGTGTTCTCTGTAGTGGGATACAGGTTGTAGTACATTCTAGGTGTGTTCTCTGTAGTGGGATGCAGGTTGCAGCTAATTCTAGGGGTGTTCTCTGTAGTTGGAAACAGGTTGTAGTACATTCTAGGTGTGACCTCTGTTGTGAGATAAAGGTTGTTGTACATTCTAGGTGTGTTCTCAGTAGTGGGATATAGGTTGTAGTACATTCTAGGTGTGTTCTCTGTAGTGGGATCAAATTGTAGTACATTCTAGGTGTGACCTCTGTTGTGAGATAAATGTTGTTGTACATTCTAGGTGTGTTCTCTGTAGTGTAATACAGGTTGCAGCTCATTCTAGGTTTGTTCTCTGTAGTGTAATAGAGGTTGCAGCTCATTCTAGGTGTGTTCTCTGTAGTGGGATACAGGTTGTAGTACATTCTAGGTGTGTTCTCTGTAGTGGGTGTGTTCTCTGTATACAGGTTGCAGTTGGTAGTGTTCAGTGTCTTGCAGGTGTGTTCTCTGTAGTGGGATACAGGTTGTAGTACATTCTAGGTGTGTTCTCTGTAGTGGGATACAAGTTGTAGTACATTCTAGGTGTGTTCTCTGTAGTGGGATACAAGTTGTAGTACATTCTAGGTGTGTTCTCTGTAGTGGGATACAAGTTGTAGTACATTTCTATACTATATGTGTTCTTGTTTAAGTTTTTCTAGGTGTGTTCTCTGTAGTGGGATACAAGTTGTAGTACATTCTAGGTGTGTTCTCTGTAGTGGGATACAGGTTGTAGTACATTCTAGGTGTGTTCTCTGTTGTGGGATACAGGTTGCAATACATAGGTGTGTTCCCTGCAGTGGGAAACAGATTTCTATACTATTTTATTTTCTTGTTTAAGTTTTGATAAGATAGATACCAGGCGCTTTTTGAACTTTAAGATAGGAATGTTCTGAAGTTTTTCCTGTTTTTTTTTCTTTATGAGCATAGCATTTGATTTCTTTTTAAAATTCGTCGGTGTCCATGACAGCTATCTCCCCTTGTTTGCTGGTAAAATAATGATAGATCTGTCCTTACTCAATTGTTAAGGTGCAACAGACTCTCGCACATCTATGACCAAGTCCTACAAAGTGTAGCCGAATTGACTACAATAAATTGTTACTGATTCATTTAACTTCTCGCAACACTATTTTTGACCTTAGTGTGAATAGAATTATAGAAAGCCGAAAATGTTGGTCTATTCCTTACCATCTCGTACAATAAGCACGTCAGTGCTAGTACGCGCCTCACTGGTCATTTGTCTGATGAAGGTGACTGTGTAGTCATCGAAACGTCACACTCTAATCTGATACTGGTTGTGTTATAAGAACTTTTCTATTAACATTACCAACTTTAACAACATGTTTTAAAAAATGAATTTAATTAAAAGCAATGACCTGTAATATAACGAGCTGTTATATGTCATGATATGAAAAAATATATTGTAACAGGTTCCTTTAGACTTAGTATGAACAGATCTTCAGTAACATCACCTCGGCTTATATAAAAACAATAAAATAAAATTGACATGTCAACAAGTTAATAATGTAAATTATCAAAACGAAGATATATTAAAAACAATGGAAAGATTTACAAAAATACCCGTGAGAAGTTCAAATAAAATAAAACCAGGTGTTCCAGAAGGGTAAGCGTCTGTTAGTTTTACAAAACTAGCGCAATCATACTTACGAGCATTGAACACACTTGACGTCCATACTACAAGGAAAAAAGGGGGAAAATTCCAGTAAAACTTTTCATAAAAAAAACAAAAAATGATAATAATAATAATGATGATAAAAATAAAACAACCCTACAAATATAGCAAAACCAAATTGCTAATAAGTATTTTTTTGCGTATTCACCCTTAGAAAATATGACATCAATTTGCATTTTCTCAAGGTACGTAGAATTTGACCTGTAGAACGATGTAATTTTTTTCTTCCTCAGGACTGCCATTGTAATTGGTTCCGTGTTTGGGACGTTTGTTGTCATGGTGATATTGGCGTCAGTTTTCATTTGCTACCTACAGCACAGACGGAACCGATTAGACGCCATTCATCAATACATTGTGGCACAGACACAATATTACACTGAGGACTTCACGGGGAACAATGACGACGACAGAAGTTTGATACTGAACACTGAAGGACCTCCTGTTCCTGTCAACAAACCCACACTACCTGATCAGTGTAAGTAGGAACTATAACGTAAACAAACCCACACTACCTGATCAGTGTAAGTAGGAACTATAACGTAAACAAACCCACACTACCTGATCAGTGTAAGTAGGAACTATAACGTAAACAAACCCACACTACCTGATCAGTGTAAGTAGGAACTATAATGTAAACAAACACACACTACCTGATCAGTGTAAGTAGGAACTATAATGTAAACAAACCCACACTACCTGGTCAGTGTAAGTAGGAACTATAATGTAAACAAACCCACACTACCTGATCAGTGTAAGTAGGAACTATAATGTAAACAAACCCACACTACCTGATCAGTGTAAGTAGGAACTATAACGTAAACAAACCCACACTACCTGATCAGTGTAAGTATGTATAACGTAAACAAACACACACTACCTGATCAGTGTAAGTAGGAACTATAATGTAAACAAACACACACTACCTGGTCAGTGTAAGTAGGAACTATAACGTAAACAAACCCACACTACCTGGTCAGTGTAAGTAGGAACTATAACGTAAACAAACCCACACTACCTGGTCAGTGTAAGTAGGAACTATAACGTAAACAAACACACTTTACCCGATCAGTGTAAGTATGTACCCGATCAGTGTATGGGTACCCGATCAGTGTAAGTATGTATCCGATCAGTGTATGGGTACCCGATCAGTGTAAGTATGTACCCGATCAGTGTATGGGTACCCGATCAGTGTAAGTATGTACCCGATCAGTGTAAGTATGTACCCGATCAGTGTAAGTATCTGAAATATTATACTATGAGACAACTGTCAAGAAGTGTAACACGGAATCCTGACATCAAATTAAGATCGGATATGTTTAGAAACCGAAGCATGCTACTATTGTGTGAAATATTTCGGTCTCGGCAATGACTGAAAATTGTGAAGAAAATTGGTTTAAAATGTACATTAAGGTTACATATGTTTCTGTATATTACAGCTTTATTCCAAGCTCTTGACGGTCTGTAATACGTCCATGAAAAATACCGGTGCTACATCAATGACTAGTTATCAGGAATCCACGAAACACTTCTCATTGTGTGATGCGGCTTGAACAGAAGTACCCGGATGTTGTTTGGGCATGTAATGCTGTTGGTGTATTTACGCTTTCCGAGATTTTCCCGAAAATGAGATTTCTTTAATATATCTCTTTTTTTTTATGAAAGTTTGCACCTACGCTGAAGTAAATGTGTAGATATAGTTTCAGCAGAGCCTATGTGTAATAGAACAAAAACGGGGACATATAAACTGAAGAGTAGTTTTCATGACGTTAATTACAATTTCACATCGAATCTCAATTTAGAAAGGAAAACTTGTAATGTTTTGTCATCATCGTAAGAAGAACAGGGAGAGAGAGAGAGAGAGAGAGAGAGAGAGAGAGAGAGAGAGAGAGAGAGAGAGAGAGAGAGAGAGAGAGAGAGAGAGAGAGAGAGAGAGAGAGAGAGAGAGAGAGAGAGAGAGAGAGAGAGAGAGAGAGAGAGAGAGAGAGAGAGAGAGAGAGAGAGAGAGAGAGAGAGAGAGAACATGAATTCTTTGATATAATATTTGTCTTTTTCTTTAAATTCTGCCAGGTCCCGGTGATAGGTGGTGAAGTTTATTGTGGGTTGAAAAAAAATATGATTGTGATATTATAATCCGTCCGTTATGTAGTTCTATGTTTTTATTATTGTTTGTGCTGTAAGATTTATACAATATCGGGCTTGTGTTTTAATACAATTCAAAGTTTTGTTTAGAATTAGAAGGGTGTCAATTTCCTCGCATAAAAAAAGTTTATTGTTTACTCTATATACATTATATGTCTCGACAAACACTGTGATTTAGTCAGTAAATATCATTTTATTTCATTTAATATTTTTTTAATTAATAAATCAGATTAATCTTACAGATGGTACATTGTGTAACCTAGGTAGCGTTACTTGTAGTAAGGGTTGATTTCTTACTCCACATTGTCTTTGAAATGTGGATTATTTATGTTTAAGATTTATCAATAGTATTTACATATTAGTCTATTACAACCTAATTGAAAATAATTTGTATTAACTGAATGTGAAATAATCCTTAACTACAACACGTTTGTAAGTAAAAACAGTACAAATAAACTGATTAACTTAAAATGACTAATTTATCTATGTAAGGTAGATTGTTCATTAACTAAAGTTGCTCTGATCATTTGAATCCCCGCGACACAATTAGAATGGATAATGATAAAGTACCCGACCTGGTGTGTCGTTATTTGTTGTAGTAAAATAACAGTCCCGGTGAAAATTCACGATCCTTTGTCGAATATAATACCTACAGCACAGTCTGACCAGCAGAATTATCCATTCAGAGATTAATTCAAAGTAGATATTTGAAAACGCACAACAAACAACGACAACGCGCAAATCTATGAAGTTGTCGTTATGTTGTATTTGTTACGATAAATGTATGATAAACAAATCACGTGTTGGTGTGTTAACGTTTTATAGAAGATCCAGAATGATAAAGTTCTATTTAAGAATTAAGGTCTAACATTTTAGAACTAACTTGATAGGGTCCATATTATAAAGTTTAGAGGTGGTCATGATTATCAATTGTATTTTTAGAAGATGCCATGTAATTTTGAGAAAGTGGTCTTGACCATATAATTTTGAGATGTCCTGACTATGTAATTTTGAGAAGATGCCCTGACCATCTATATTTTTAAGCAAGATATTTCTACACGAAATCTCACTCATTCAATCATTCTACAAAAACACATAATTGAAGAGCACCTTTCCATATCAATTCGAAAAAAAAATACTGGTGATTTATATATAGTAGATTCGATTTAATTTCTTGTGATATAGGACATATCTGGAGGTTTATATACAATACAGGGACGTGTACGTCTGGGTAGTTATACAACACAGGGACGTTTACGTCTGGGTAGTTATACAACACAGGGACATGTACGACTGGGTAGTTATACAACACAGGGACGTGTACGTCTGGGTAGTTATACAACACAGGGACATGTACGTCTGGGTAGCTATACAACACAGGGACGTGTACGTCTGGGTAGTTATACAACACAGGGACGTGTACGTCTTGGTAGCTATACAACACAGAGACGTGTACGTCTGGGTAGTTATACAACACAGGGACGTGTACGTCTAGGTAGTTATACAACACAGGGACATGTACGTCTGGGTAGCTATACAACACAGGGACGTGTACGTCTGGGTAGTTATACAACACAGGGACGTGTACGTCTGGGTAGTTATACAACACAGGGACGTGTACGTCAATACAGGGACGTGTACGTCTGGGTAGCTATACAACACAAGGACATGTACATCTGGGTTAGCTATACAACACAGAGACATGTACGTCTGGGTAGCTTTACAACACAGGGACGTATACGTCTGGGTAGCTATACAACACAGGGACATGTACTTCTGGGTAGTTATACAATACAGGGACGTGTACGTCTGGGTAGCTATACAACACAAGGACATGTACATCTGGGTTAGCTATACAACACAGGGACATGTACGTCTGGGTAGCTATACAACACAGAGACATGTACGTCTGGGTAGTTATACAACACAGGGACATGTACGTCTGGGTGGTCATACAACACAGAGACATATACGTCTGGGTAGCTATACAACACAGAGACATATACGTCTGGGTAGCTATACAACACAGGGACATGTACGTCTGGGTAGCTATACAACACAGGGACATGTACGTCTGGGTAGTTATACAACACAGAGACATGTACGTCTGGGTAGTTATACAACACAGAGACATGTACGTCTGGGTAGTTATACAACACAGAGACATGTACGTCTGGGTAGTTATATAACACAGAGACATGTACGTCTGAGTAGTTATACAACACAGAGACATGTACGTCTGGGTGGTTATACAACACAGAGACATGTACGTTTGGGTAGTTATACAACACAGGGACATGTACGTCTGGGTAGTTACAACACAGGTATTACGTGGGTAGCTATACACACAGAGACATGTACGTCTGGGTAGCAACACACAGGGACATGTACGTCTGGGTAGTTATACAACACAGAGACATGTACGTCTGGGTAGCTATACAACACAGGGACATGTACGTCTGGGTAGTTATACAACACAGGGACATGTACGTCTGGGTAGTATACAACACAGGGACATGACAACACAGGGACGTGTACGTCTGGGTAGTTATACAACACAGGGACATGTACGTCTGGGTAGCTATACAACACAGAGACATGTACGTCTGGGTAGTTATACAACACAGGGACATGTACGTCTGGGTAGTTATACAACACAGAGACATGTACGTCTGGGTAGTTATACAACACAGAGACATGTACGTCTGGGTAGTTATACAACACAGAGACATGTACGTCTGGGTAGTTATACAACACAGAGACATGTACGTCTGGGTAGCTATACAACACAGGGACATGTAAGTCTGGGTAGGTATACAACACAGGGACATGTACATCTGGGTTAGCTATACAACACAGGGACATGTACGTCTGGGTAGTTATACAACACAGAGACATGTACGTCTGGGTAGTTATACAACACAGGGACATGTACGTCTGGGTAGTTATACAACACAGAGACATGTACGTCTGGGTAGTTATACAACACAGAGACATGTACGTCTGGGTAGTTATACAACACAGAGACATGTACGTCTGGGTAGCTATACAACACAGGGACATGTACGTCTGGGTAGGTATACAACACAGGGACATGTACATCTGGGTAGCTATACAACACAGGGACGTGTACGTCTGGGTAGCTATACAACACAGAGACATGTACGTCTGGGTAGCTATACAACACAGAGACATGTACGTCTGGGTAGTTATACAACACAGAGACATGTACGTCTGGGTAGCACAGAGACATGTATACAACACAGGGACATGTACGTCTGGGTAGTTATACAACACAGGGACATGTACGTCTGGGTAGCTATACAACACAGGGACATGTACGTCTGGGTAGCTATACAACACAGGGACATGTACGTCTGGGTAGTTATACAACACAGAGACATGTACGTCTGGGTAATTATACAACACAGAGACATGTACGTCTGGGTAGTTGTACGTCTGGGTAGTTATACAACACAGAGACATGTACGTCTGGGTAGTTATACAACACAGAGACATGTACGTCTGGGTAGCTATACAACACAGAGACATGTACGTCTGGGTAGTTATACAACACAGGGACGTGTACGTCTGGGTAGCTATACAACACAGGGACGTGTACGTCTGGGTAGCTATACAACACAGGGACATGTACGTCTGGGTAGTTATACAACACAGGGACATGTACGTCTGGGTAGGTATACAACACAGGGTCATGTACGTCTGGGTGGTCATACAACACAGAGACATATACGTCTGGGTAGCTATACAACACAGGGACTTGTACGTCTGGGTAGCTATACAACACAGAGACATGTACGTCTGGGTAGTTATACAACACAGAGACATGTACGTCTGGGTAGTTATACAACACAGAGACATGTACGTCTGGGTAGTTATACAACACAGTGACATGTACGTCTGGGTAGTTATACAACACAGGGACATGTACTTCTGGGTAGTTATACAATACAGGGACGTGTACGTCTGGGTAGTTATACAACACAGGGACGTGTACGTCTGGGTAGCTATACAACACAGAAACATGTACGTGTGGGTAGTCATACAACACAGAGACATGTACGTCTGGGTAGTTATACAACACAGAGACATGTACGTCTGGGTAGTTATACAACACAGAGACATGTACGTCTGGGTAGTTATACAACACAGAGACATGTACGTCTGGGTAGTTATACAACACAGAGACATGTACGTCTGGGTAGCTATACAACACAGGGACATGTACGTCTGGGTAGTTATACAACACAGGGACATGTACGTCTGGGTAGCTATACAACACAGGGACATGTACGTCTGGGTAGTTATACAACACAGAGACATGTACGTCTGGGTAGTTAT